GTAAACGGGGTGATCGCTTGTGGTTGCCGTGTTCATTTGGCAACAACCTGCAGATACTTTCTGTTTGTACCCTCCTCTTCTTCTTCTTCTTCTTCATCATCATCTTCCCTCCCATTACAGAATCAGTCACACGAATATCTGAGCGTCTTTCTGTTAACTGTTTTCTCCACAGACTTCCCTCTTGTTGCCTTCCCTCTCCTCGGTGTCTCCCTACATCCCCTTCTCTTCATCCTGCTACTCTTGCTTGCTGATGTCTAAGTGTCACCCGCTGTTCCCTCTCCATTGCCCGGCGCAGATGTCTCGCTCTTTTACCTCTGTAGAAATCATACCGCCATCGAGATTTTCTTCTCTCTTGTAGGTGAGCGAGTTGACATTATAGAGTGTTGATGAATGATTGTATATCAGTCCGAAACCTTCCACCTTGTCTGTGTCCTCTGCATCTTGGAGGAAGGTCCAGCAAGACCGCCAGCAAGCCGGCTCCCTCTTCATCTACCAATCTTTCTTGTGTGCAGCCTTGCTAGAGAATCTATAATCAGCCACAGGTGTAAGATTGAAGCTTTTTGCTTCAAGCGAGGAATGGGCAACCGATGACTGCGGACGAGGAAGAAAATGGAGATCGAAGAACCATTATCGGTGGCTTCTCCTTTGGCCCTGGGCTGAGACGACTCTAGACGCTCAAACATGGAACAAAATCTCCGTGAGGACAACCAGATGCGGTTTGCAGAAGGCATAAACAAGCAACGTAACGTTGCTTTTCCTTGCTCCTTTTTCTTTTTCCTGTTGATGCCGTTGTGAGTTGAGACTGTGTATTTGCCTGAGAGCCGCTGGTTCACCTCTGCGCCCGAAAGCTCTGTCAAAGCCGAAATAGCCATTACTGGTGTTTTGTGGATAATCGAAACACACAACATAGCCTTATATGTAAGATGATCTAATGCAGCAGAGCAAGTGGTGTTGAAGGGCGTGGATAGAGACAGAAAGAGGTTTTCTCATTGGTAAGAGCTCTGCTGCACTGTGCTGTTTCCTAGGCTGCCACTACTAGCGACTATCCCCCACTGCTCTCTGTTTCTGCTCACTGCACACTCCTCCATTCCATCGTACGTGCCCGCTGTGGCTCAGATAATGGCCTCTCGCTCTGCACACACTGAAGAGAGAGAGGAGAGGAGATGGAGGGAGAGGCTGCGCGAGAGGGAGGGGAGTGGAGGGAGGGAGGGAGAGAGCGAGAGAGAGAGGGGGGAAGGTGGGGGCTGCGAAGAGAAGCCGACTGCATGTGTAGCCGAGAGAAAGAAAGAGGATATTGAAAAAGGGGAAGGGAGGAGCAGACAGAGATAATGAGAAAGGAAAAAGGAGAGAACAGAAAGCGTCGGCCATAAGAAGAGGAAAGAGAATGAGAAACGTGTGTGCTGTGTTTGGGGGAGGGTGTGTTGAGTGTGTGCGGCTGGCTGCGTGTGCGTGCGTGAATGCACGCATGTGTGTTTCGGCGCTCGCTCTGTCTGTGCGCCACACAGACTGGAAGAAATAAAAAGGAATATAACCCAACAAGGCCGGATTACTTGTGGGCTGCTGTGCCGGCAAGCAAGTCTCATGCTCCTCTCCGTCTCCTCTTCTGCTTTCTGCTCTCCGACCGGCAGCTCTGTCTGGACGCCTAGGACAACGTAAGTAAGCGTCGCTGGTCCGCGGGGCTCCCACCCAGCTTCATATTGTCAGGGTCTCTGCTTCATGTTCCTGCTCGGCACGGCAGCAAAGGAAGGGGTGGGGGAAGAAGGAGGGGGACGAGAGGGAGAATAGGGGGGGGGTGTTGTGTATCTGGGATTTAGGTTCAGCTGTCTACTCACAAGCTGAATTTAACCCCCTCACCGCCACTAACACTAGTGTCTTTACATGCTTTGTCTCCTCCCTGTATTTTTTTTTTTTTTTTGCAGTGTCAGTGTTAAACAGCCCTCGCTTTGCTCTCTCACAAAGATGTAAAGGCTCACCTTGTTTAAAGGGCTCGAGTGTCTCGTCTACCAGGTTTTGCGAGATCTGATCCGGTTAGGTGTGTTGATGTTTTTGGATGCACTTATTGGTGTGTGTCAAGCTTGTAAAAGAGTGTGTGTGTTGGGGAGATGGTGAAATATAGTGAAACAGTTAGAGAGAAGACCGAGATCGACAAGGCAGGGGAGTAGACTCTGTCACGGTGTAAATATTTGTCAAAGCACGTGGTCTGTACAGTCCAGGGCACCCGGATAGGTGTAAAGCGCTGCAGGTGTCAGTGCAGCATTTTCATCCTGGACCGAAATTTAAACTCTCAATAAAGTCAATCAAGGCCAATGAAAGCCCAGATCATATGAGGATTCAAAGAACTGTGTGCAGTGTGGTATTTGTTATCTGCACCGGCAAAGCTGAGTAAAGTCCGTTTGTTCTGAGTATACAGCTTGAGGCGCTTTAAACCCATGTGACTTGGCCGTGCGTTGTATATGTAACTGTGAGAAAAGGAGGAAAAGAAAGTGTCATTGCGCCTGACAGCGTGTGATTGTGGGATGTTAGGTTGTGCAGTGTTGCAGTCACTCTGTTTCAACACATTGCAGTTCTCATAACTGCCGTGCACAGCCCCCCCCCCCCCTTCCTCTTTCACGTCTGATGCCACTGATAGCGCAGACATGCGGCCTCTCACGTATTGTATGCCGGCTGTTCACTGCCACCCCCGACCTATCCACAACCCCCACCCAGCACCCCAACCCCCTCCCACTGGGACCCCCAACGGACACAGCGCAGAAGGTGGATTCAAAAGACCTGAGCATACTGCCTGTCCAGTAATTACCCACTTCAAAGGCTCATTTCAATAATATTCAAATGATGGGGAAGCTGGACGTCGGGCTCAGTACTGTCATACACTGAGTTACAACCAGAAGCCATTTTCTGTCTTTTTTAAGTCACCTGAATCAGGAACTAGTTCACCATTAACATTTAACATGTTGGGGTGTGAGACCATCGGCTATCTTGAGGTTAGTTTGTGTTCATGTGTAAGGAATTTATTGATATCTTGATCCAATTTTTGTTGTGTCTTATGCCAGTGAGGGATTGTGCTTGTAACCAGCAATAAAGGCTACTGTACAGTGAAAAGCATGCAGCAGGGGCTTGTTTAGGGTATGTTGTCTGTTTATAGTAAACACATAGGTTAAAGACTGCATGTAAAAAGGTTAGTAATACAGTGCATTGGTCAACAGGGTGCTAACATAAAAAAAATTTATTTATTCAGTGAGTCTGCCATTGTTTGCTTCTCAAAAGGGCTATTAGATATGTTGGAATACACTGTTCAGCCACAACATGAACTCTGTCAATGATTTCTGAGCCTGCCCTTGGATGATCTTTGTTTGCTGTTCCTCTCTAGACTCAGTTGACTGTATTCTATGAGGACCATAGACTGGACTGAATAATGTGTGCAAGTAACATCTTTGGACTCAAGTGAATCGGATCACCATAGTTGGCTTTAACATATCAAGATAATTACAATAACAAACTCTCCACTCTGGTGCATTGAGCAGTCTGAAATAAACAGAATGCTTTGAAAATGTAATTTGACACAAGTCCAGGTGATGTGTTTGCAGTTTTCAGAGTAACTGCTAATGTGGTAACTGTCCCAATTTTGACTTTGAGAGGAAGTGGGACATATGCCGCACTGATCAGCTCCAGATTAGTGTTACCAAATGTCTGAGGTCTTTTAAAACCTGCTGATATGACATCTTAATGTTGTTTACTTGGTTGCAATGACTGCAATGAATACTACAGTTCAAAAAATGAACATCTAAAATGTAGTTAGCCAAAGCTAGATTCTGTTATTGAGCAGTGTGGTACGATGGGTTTTGCCAAATATCAAGAGCAGTGAGTTGTTGCTTGTATTTTGCTGTATAAAATCACTGATGGGAAAGGCAAAGATTGGTTTACAAGCATAATTTCTCATGCCAAAACATTATTGACGTAGACATTGGGCCTATCTGCAGACACCAACTCTGAGCTTTGAATCTTCACTGCTACACCACTGTGTGCTCTCAGCAATCAAACTCCCTTCATCCTGGTAGAATCCTTCTTTAGCATATAATTGTAGTACATTAGTTCTTAAAATATCTGTTTTTGTTGACCAAATACTGTGTATCTCAGGCTGGTGGGGTAGCTCAGATAGTTGGGAGAGCATCACATGAGCAGAGCCACACTGCAAAACTTCAATGTGTACTGTTACAATCAACAGCCAAACCCTCAATTTACTGAACATCTGTAATTTTCAAATACCAATTAATGATCAAATAAGACTTTCCTTCACTCTTTAACAAATCATATTAGTAGTTCCCACACTTGGTCAACAGTTCTCTCAACCAAGTGAATAAAATCTGTAGTTTTTAATAAATTATGAAAATGAACAGTTCATGTAAGTGGATTTCTTGGATCTCCCAGTCATTATGTAGATTGGTTTATTTAGTTTTCTTTTCCTCTCAATGTGTATTTAATGCTCCACCTCTACCACACAGAGTATCCACCATGGGTGACATGTTTTAACTCCAACTGCCTGCTTTGCATAGACTAACTGACCTGAACAGTGAAACTATGTCACATGGCCAGTCACTTGCCTGATAAACACTTGCTTGTTGTGAAATCTCTCCACTGAAGCAATAGTTATTTCAGTTTTCCTTAGGTCCCAACCCTGCAGCAGTGTATGCTCTGTATGTGTGAATGGTGGGAGGGAAACCCTGGATAGGAGCTGGGAAGAAGGGAATGGAGTCTAATATTATTTTGATGTTTGTTTAAAAACAAATCATTTTATCATTCTTATTCTTGGAATGCAGATAAATGATCAATATTTTATTAATAACAAACATACATTATTACTGTGTACATTATTACACACAGGGTGATTATTCAAAATAATGCTTAATGTGTATTGTTGTTTTGCATAGTCCTACCAGTTGCATAGTCCTGGAGTCTTTGGATTATTATAACCTCACTAACCTTACTCCATGATTTTCTTGCAGACTGTTCGGGAAGTCACTTCAGTGGATGGCCCCAGAAGTGGAGGCCAGATGGAAATTGGGTCACATGACCGCCTCCAGGAAGGCGCGCTGAACCTGGAATTGGCCAATGGGGTTAATCGCTACCCTAATGATGATGAGACATCTATAGAAACAGAGCAGCAGAGGGCAGGAAGCGTGCCTGCAAGGCAGTGGGTGTCAGGACATGGCAAGGTCAGTGACACCCAACAACAGCAACCGTGTTGGAACAGCAACAGTAGTACAACCCCTGGTGAACCTGTCCACCACGCAGACATGGAGGATGCTCAAAATTTGGTGGCTTTTTCTGCTCTTGCCGGCTCCTTGCCTCCTTCTTCCTCCTCTTCCTGCCTCGTCCAGCCTAATACAGCCCTGCTGTATGAGAAATTCATCCAGGAGATGGGTGCTGAGGGGACTCAGGCCAGGCTCTCTGCAGGGGCTCCTGAGGGTAGCTGCCAACCTCCAGAAGACCTGAACACCCTACAGACAGCACTGAGCCAAGCCAAACATGGACACAAGCCCCCAAACTGCAACTGTGATGGGCCTGACTGTCCAGACTACCTTGAGTGGCTGGAGAAGAAGATTAAGTTGGCAACCAGTGAGGATCAAGGTCCCTGCAAGATGAATAATGCTCCTCCACACTTACAGTCTCACCTACAGCAACCCCATTTAAAGCATCAACCTCACCCCCACCCCCAGGTTAATGGTGGCCCCCGTCTGTCTACTTCATACCCCCAGCAGCAACAGGGAACTCAAGGCCCTCATCCAGACCAAGTGCCCTGCTCCAAACCCCCAATTCCTTGCTCTCCCCAGGTGCTCTCCATAGCCAAGGAAAAGAACGTCAGTCTTCAGACAGCCATCGCAATAGAAGCCCTGACCCAGTTATCTAGTACTGGTCCACAAGCTGCTGGCTCTCCAGGTCAAGCCCCCTACCACAGTAACCTCCATCACCACCAACATACCCAGAACCTCCCATCTCAGCCCCCCAATGGCACTAGCATGATCCCGTCCTCTCCCGGCACCCACTTATCCTCCTCACGCTCTCAATCCGTCCCTCCAGGATTACACACTGGCCAGCAGGCCCCAGTGTCCTGTGAGCACCATAGGCCCCAATCCCAGGGCCAGCCACCCCATGCTACCCCTCTCCCGTCCTCTACCTCTCCCTTCCCAGACCAGGGAAAACATCCAGGCTTCAGCCCTAATCCACAGCAGTGGCAACAGGGCTCAGGCAGAAGCTCTGAACAGAGGAACCCATGGATGCATATGAAATCTGAGCCCCAGTCTCACTACGCCGCTGCACCTCACAGTAACTCAGACCCCATGTCAGAGCTCAAACAGCTGCTAGGTGATACCAGTGGCAAGTTCAGCAATGGTCCTTTCAAGCTTCCAATGGCACAGCAGCTCAGATTAACCCAGAATGGAGGTATCCAGGCCCAGGACAACCCAGCATTGGCCAGGATAAAGCAAGAGACAGACTCTGGTGAGCACTACCATCACACTGCCTCCATGGGACATTATGGCATGGCTAATTGTCAGCAGCAGGGTCAGCACTACCCTGGCACTCCCCTGTCTCCTGGTCAAGCAGCCATCAGCCACTCCACTCAGGCAGCTTTGCAGCAGCACCTTCACTACAAGAGGAACCTCTTCTCTAACCACTCCTCTGGCTTTGGAGCACCAGGCCCTCGTGCACCTCTGGCTTGCCAAAACTTGAAAAAATGGTGGCCACAGATGGAGGCAGAATGTATGCCACATCTGGCCATCAAACAGGAATCCAAGGAACCCAAGAAGAAAAAAAGCAGCCAAGGATCTCCTGTCATAAAAGCTATGAGTGGGATGCTTACAGTCCCTCCCCTACCCAAACCGAAACAGATCATAATCAAGAAGACCAAGCAGAAAGCCTCCATGCCAACCTTCCTGCCTCAGATTCAGATCACCATACAAAAACCACCAGTCCTCATGATGGACAGAGCCCCGGCCCTGACCAGCCTGAAACCAGGTTCTCTCCCCTCTCTACCCCTCCATAGTAATTCCACTCAGGCTCCTGCTGCAGGCCTCCCTGCCCCAGCCCAATCTCAGGTATCCATTTCCAACTCCTTAATGACTCCCTCTTCCACTGTTTCTGCTTTGTCAGAAAACACTCCAGCCCTCATGGGCCCTCTGCCCCTACCTGTGGCCCCTTTAGCCCATGTTAAGTCAGAGGGAGCTAACAGCTTGGTCTCCAGTTACACCAGCACCACCAAACCTCTGACCTCCACATCTTCACCCGACACCTCACAATTACAGAGTCTCATCAACATAGACCCGAAATACGAAGAACTGATCCGCCAGTTTGAGGCTGAATTTGGGGACACAGCCCCATCCGCCAGTCAACTCATGGAGGAGACTGCTACAGCCCCTCAGCAGGGGAATCAGTCCCAGACCTGTCCTCAGGACCTCAGTTCCACATCATCATCATCATCCAAATCCCAGTCGGCTCCCTTATTTCTCACCCCTCAAGCCAGCTCCACATCTCATTCAGATGATCAGGAGATGGAAGTCAACAAAGATGAATTAGGGACCCAAAGTGAAGCAGCCTTGAACCTGGCACCCACAAAAAGCCCAATGGAGGAGCAGCATAAGGGGCCCCTCCATGTCTCTCTGAATCAGGAGGCCATTCTGGACAAGCAGCAGCAGCCCAGTTTGTTAGAGGATAGGTTCAGCATACCATGTTCTCCTCTGCCTAAACGCATGAAGATCGAAGCCTCGGGTGATATAGCAGTACTTTCCACCACGTGCTATTCTGAAGAGGACACACCCACTAAGGACAGTCTGCCATCTTCTCCATCACTCAGAGGCTTCCTTGAGTCTCCTCTGCGCTATCTAGACACCCCCACAAAAACCTTGTTAGATACTCCCTCCAAGGATCTACAGGCAGAGTTCCCCACCTGCACCTGTGTGGGTAAGTCAGTGTGTTGGTGTCTTTCAATGCGTATGCAGAATGCAGAGGGATGAGTTTGATATCCATCAACATAGTGAATTAGCACTTTCCAAACAGTATTGAATAATGTTCTAACTCCAAACATTGCCAATTCATCAAAAAAAGTAAGTAAGTCTGTAAGTACAGTAAGTCTGGCCAATGTTAGGCTGACTAGTAAAGGCAGTAGTGGGTACTAGTAAAGTGTCTCATGTCAACAAGGACGCATGCATATTTTGCAGTGAAGACTCTTTTGGGAAACATTTTCTAAATCTGGAAATGTTCATGTGTTGCCCTACCAGTTGAGGTAAACATTAGTGAACTCATAATACTGTCACTCTGAGAGTACTTTACCGTAGTTATTGAGCTACACAGGTCCACTATTGAGTTTTTTTTAGTCCCCCTCTGCTTCAGCTTCTCTATCTAGATGCTTGTTGAGTGTATCCAAGAATGTGCGTGTTGCCAGGGTGTGTGGCTGCAACCATCCAGACTGCGACAGTGTGAGGCACTAAAGGCAGCGGGCAGGAACAATAGCAGTGGTGGCAGAAGGAGCCTTTTGTGTGGGTTTGGGTCTAGCAGGCAAGCAGAACAGAGCCTTTGTCAGACAGAAAGGAACTCAGTCCCATAGTTTGGGTAGTACCCTGCTCAGGTTATTTGTTTACAACAGAGTAGGTGGTCCTACAGTAGAAACCTATACTACATATTTAAAATAAATGAGAAAAAAGAAAATGCATTTACTTATAACACAGCTTTACAGGTAGTTAGATTTTGCCTACAGTACACCCACATAATGAATTTGTAAAAGGTCTTTATTATTTAAAAATACTCTATCTCTCTGCCCATTAAGTCAGGAATAAATAACTCAGTAAATCAGAATATTACTGGTCAATCTACTCTGGGAAACAGTCCATTAATTTACTCGTTGTTAACTTGGGAGCTAAGAAGAGTGTAGGCCTGGTAAATAGACCCTTACTGTACCTAAACATTGAGAGGGTGCACAGCAGCGAGAGAGCAGCTGCAGGGAAACACTTGTGCTGTTACCAAGAGTAAAGACCAGCAGACAAGTCTTGATAGTAGAGTTTGGTTACACACTGCCCTGTCAACTGCTACAGCATAACACTGCTGGAATGAGACTCCCAAAGATACAGCCATGATGTGCACATACGCGCGTGCACACACACACACACAAACAATTTCCCACGCAAGAATTTAGTATGACTCCTCCACTTCCTGCCCTGGGCCACACCCTGGTGCCTCCCTGCACTAAGAGGGGAATGTGACCTCATATTGCCTCTGAACCAGAGACACACAACACTGAGTGTACTGGTAGTGCATTTACATTTAGAGCATTTAGCTAGAGTGTGTGCTACACTATGATAATGAAGTGTTGAACCCAGTATTAGTTTCCTGTTTTAAAAGCTAAGCAATGCAAAGTCCAGTACAGTCACACAGACATGCAAGATCAGCACTAAAGTCATGGGACATTATTTACCACGACAGACGGGTGTAGGACAATGATCTAATGCATTCACACACTCATAGACAACATAAACACAGTGCACAGCACTCACACAGACACTCCCCTCATCGACTCAGAGACCGAGTCATTCATCACTACCTCAAAAAGTTTCTGCTTTACAAAGTATCTCCACACACACACACACACCACACCCTCCCGTCACAGTCCACTGTGCGTCGGGAGGGTATTTGTGTGAATTGGATGTTGCAATCAGTTGCACATTCTCACGCTTCTCATAGATGATTTGGCTTCAGCTACAAAGAGAGGATGTCTTTGAGTGTGTCCAAAAATACATGCAAACACTGACATGTGATTATGTGCTAAGATATTGCTTCATTTTTAACTCTTAACTTAAGTCAAGAGACTTGTACTGTTAAATATTTTCAACTTGTGAGACATTTACTCAGTTCGATGAAGCGAGCACCCTTTAGCTTCAAGCAGGACTCCATCGTAAATTTGGATTTAAGGCAGGGAAATTATTTATTTGATCAACGTGATGTGCAAAAACAGTTATAAAGCCTGATGCTGCTGCTGATGTTGATGTAGAATACAATATTTAAATAATCTCTTTGGTGTCTTTGTTCTAAAAATTGAGAAGAGATTTTAGGAGATATTTACACTAAAAACAGTACATGATAATGACAATTTCAATGTTTTGTTTAAATCAAACTACAAAGTAAAGTGAGATAACTTTTGGCTCTCTTCCTCTAAAGTAGTATAAGTGTAGTATTAATACCAATTTTAGCTCATAATAATAGAACATCCAGAATAAAAAATAGCTATATTTAGTTTTAAAAATTTTAATCGCGATTAATCGCATGATTTTCTTTAGATTAATCGCATTGTTACGCGCAAAATTGAATAATGAATTCTAAAGTAGTGTATAGCGCACTTGTAATTTAAATGTACTGCTATATACACAAAAGTGCAATAACATGTGGTTTGCAAACACTTTAAACAAATAATTTGCTTTTTACCCGCAGTATTTCCTTTACACAGCAGCAATAAAATATTACCTAAACTTACCTATAACCTACACATTAATGTAATCAAATCAATTATTAAACCAAAGATGTTTGCCACTGCCAGGGGATTTCCTTTTATCTAGCTTGTTAAAAGAAGTTACCATCAGAGTCCAGTTTTCTTCTGTATTTTTTTCTCAGCAGGTAGTAGCAGGTATCATTTATCAGGGAGCAGCAGAAATACTATATTCAGTAGGGTTGGGACGATGTCTACATTCAAACATTGGGATGGACGGGGGTGGGGGGGGTGTAGCGGTTGTCTTATGTGCGTGTGTTCACTCGCACAGACTTTTCAAGTTGCGGTGGATATTTTACAAGCACGGACCAGGTAACGTTAAAGCAACATTGAACACAGGGTGCAGATGTTGGTTTCGGCTGTTTGAGTTGTTTGATAGGCTGCGTCATTAACAAGCAAGCGGCTCACCTGCTGCCTTGAGAAAAAAGACGACAGCGTAGTCTGCTGAAGCCTCCCTCCACTGCTTGTTTGGGTGGGTGATTTGCAGGCTGATCAACATCCCGCCGCTCCTGTGACCCATGGTTTGACTGTATGTGTATTCAGAGCCAGTGAGCAACAGACTTTCAAAATAATAATAATTTAACGTGATAATAACGCGTTAACGTGCCCAGCCCTACTAAATTTAGATTTACTCAAAGTGTTCACCACAGAGTGGTTTAGTGTGCAGCGAAACTTAAGCAAGAGAAAAAATACATTGTCAGCACCAGTGGTCTGTTGTGCATTGTGAATAATTGTGGACATTAAGTGTGGAATTTGCCTTAGTGCTTTTTCAGGTCCAGTAATGTGCTGTTTCCTCATCCTCTACTGCCTCTTTTTTCTAGAACAAATCGTGGAGAAAGATGAAGGGCCCTACTACAATCACCTGGGATCTGGACCTACTGTAACCTCCATACGAAACCTGATGGAGTCGAGGTGAGTCTTTCCCTCTTCTCTTCTATCCTCTTCTTCCTAAATGCATTTGCTTTCTCTGCCTCTTCCTTCTCCTCTCTCTCTCTACCTTCCCTCCCCCTCACATTTTGTCCTTAGGGAATCTGTGACCCAGAATCCGGTAGGAGGAACAGGAAGTATCAGCATCATCAGCACATCAGAGGCAGAGCGTGCAGCGCTGGAGTAGCAGCAGATGATAGCTGAGAATGAGAGGAATTTGGGAGGAAGGACGACATATTTCAAATCACAGAGAGAGAGAGAGAGAGAAAGAAGGATAAAGAGTGAGGAAGACAGAGGGAAGGGAGGAAAGAAGAGGCAAAATGTTCATTTTAAGTAGAAAGTGTGATAGACAGGGTGCATTTTATGTGCAGTAATATTGTTTAGCAGTCAGCTAGTATTAAGTAATGCTGAAAATTAGAGTTACGTGACTTTTTAAATGCAAATAATGTACATACAAAGCTGATTAGAAGATAAATCTATGTGACATGTTGTTTTTTATTTTATAAATGAGGCAACAGATGATATTTTGCATTAGCCATCAGGACTCTGATCCGTGTCACTTACACAGTACTAACTGGACAGCCTCACCAAACCAATCCAATAAGCTGTTGTTGCTCTGTCTGCAGTGCATCAGCAGACTTGGTGATAAAAGGACAGATTAGCTTAGTTTAGCAGTTTGATCTTCATGAGATTAGTACTTATTCAATTCAGGAAGAAACACCAGATAGCTCCCCAGCTGCTAAATATTAACCAAACTAATCAAAGTTGTTGTAGGGCTATCTTACTAAAACATAATACTGATTACTGATACTGATGCTAACCTTCGTTCATGTTTAAGGATTCTTAGTTAACACGTTGTACTGTCTGTTATTTGTACCAGACTGCAGAAACACCTTGTACTCAGTGTGGTAACCTATTACAGCCGGACACCTCATTGTGTTATGCTTCATGTGAATAGTACTGAACATTGTACTGAGGCTGGTATTCACTGAGTGTCATTAGTCCCTGGAGAGCACAGGATGAGGTGGGGGGATGTTAGGCCAGAGACCACTTTTTGTTGTTTGAGAGATGACCTAAGACTTTAAAGACCCAATGTCCCTAGCTAACCTTTGACCCACCCCTGACCCAAGCAGGCCACCCCCTGTGGTGACAGAGCCTTCCCCCCCCTGCACACTCTTTCAGGCACCTCAGGATGATTCCTATTCAGAAGGAGCCCCTTGTGTTCACTGTCAAACCAAATCTGCTCAGGGCTGAAGTTTGCACAATGGCAGGTATCAAGCAGGCGGGAGACTTGATGTGAACCGTGAGCGGACATTTGACAGATTCTGCTGGCCAATCCCAACCCCAGTGCAACCTCTGATCCCCTCCCTCCTCCTTATACACCTCCCGACTCTACCGTCAGACCTGCAGGAATACACACATACATCATTAGGACAACTCCCAGCACTCCATTGTTTACCCAAGCAGGTGTTCGTCGACACATACACACAAAACAAATAGAAATGTGTGTACAGAAAATAAGCTCACGCATGTGGACACAAACACCAGCCCAGAAATATCTCCAAGAGAAGACCCTTTGGCTGGCGTGGTGTAGAGTCTGCTGGGTTCTGGTTTACTCTGCCGTGCTTGTGTGAATCTCAGCAGAGCCTTGTGAACACTCCTCACCAGCCAGTGGTGCTGAGGTTGGCCTGTCTTTGCCATAAATGACAAACTACGATTCTCACATATTCAGGGTAACAAATGCAAAAGTTATAGTTGGTATAAAAAATTTGAAACGCTCCCGATGAGGTCAGTCATGACAAAAAGAACACACTGGTTAACTTCTGAACAACAGGGCTGTGTCTCCTATTACAGCTCTGATACTCCAAGCCAACAGTTAGCAGCTGCTGATCTGCTGCTGGACAGCTACTGAGTGGACATGTGTCGCCCAGAGCTTTTGCAGTGTGGTATTATTGGCACTATCTGACCTTTATCAGCGACCATTTGGCCAACTGAGCGTGTTTAATCTAAGCTATCAGGTTGTTCAGCTCAGCAGATTTGCTTTTCCTGTGTTTATGTTGAGCATAAATGAGTTTAAACAGATTAACAGCATGAAAATTGATACTTTTTAGTTGAGTCTTTAGTTTGTTTAATCGTGAATACAGGCACAGAGTGCAAATTGATACAGTTGGTGAACTGGCTGTCAGGTGTACTGCGTTGTGTTGAGGTGCAACTTTTAACAGAACACGTGAGGCCACAAGAAATGATCCAAAGCATCTGACCAGTCAGCTTTTGTTGGCGCTAGCTCCTTGAGGTCGGCTTTGTGGCCCCTTACACACAGGAAAGACTGCAGGGTGTATTTAAATTTAGGCCACTAGAGTGTCAGCTTAGCATATCAGAGCCCTTGGAGTCAAGCGTCAGGGGTATCTTATCTGAAGAGAAGTCATTCTGGCACCAAACACCAACTGCCCAAGTGACTGAACATCAATATAACTAAATTGTTTCTCCTCCTGTGCAGGTATGGAGAGAAAGGGGATGCCATCCGCATTGAGAAGGTGCAGTTCACAGGCAAAGAGGGAAAGAGCTCACACGGATGTCCTATTGCTAAATGGGTAAGTAGCATCACATCACTGGTATCTGGTTGAAGCTTTGAAAGAGCCTTGCATTACATAACTTCCTGCATAGGTGACTGCACTGGGATAAGAAGCAATATATTTGGGATTGGTATTGTCGATGTTATGTTTCAAAAGAATGGCCCATGTTTTGTTTAAAACAAAAAACATCTTTGTCCACACACAGAGTTTTAGCCAAGTGGAACTGTTGCTGAAAGTAAGACAGGAGTACAGAGAGACTGTGACGGCAGGAAACAGACTGGGAGTCATCGCAAAGCAGCCTAACTATGGCGACATGCACAGTAAAAGTGTGTGTTATTTGCACAGTACAAAATATTTTAATCAAAATACCAAAACATAAATACTGCCAGTAGCATCGTGTTTCTGCTTTGCATGACTTATAAGACCCAATCAGGAAGCCAAACGTGGGCTTACGTCTGTCCGCACTAACACTGCGTTCCAAGCAACTTGGAAATGGGAAATTTCCAACCTCCAACTAGAAAGAGTACCATGGAACGCCACTTGAAGTTGGATTTCCTACTTGTGAACTCTGAGAAAAAATATGTACCCCAACTTCACGAGTAGCAGCCGAATGACGTCACACAACAACTGCAGCTCCCATAGAGCACACATTGTAAATGGTATACCATGAACTAAAAGGCAAAGTAAATTGTTAAATTAAAATAATACATACTAGTATCAAAAAGTGAAACTTGTAAATTGATGTAGAAATGTTGTCAATGTTATTAGGTAGCTGGTTACAGTAAATGATCTCTGAATGTCATCTTCTCTGCCCAAAAGTTACTCAGGAAAATGTTAAAAATGCCCAGAAATGTGAAAACATTTGGAAATATAGACTCCAACTTCTGCTGACTTGAGGATTACCAACTGATGTAGCTAGAAGTAACGTATATTTGTTTTTAATAAAATGGTCATCCTTTTAATTAATACCAAGTGCACTGCTGAGGGTTTAACTGTGCATAAACTTGCCAAGGAAACGTAAGTTGGTCACGGTCAGCCATGTTTATTGTTTACATTTAGCGTCATGCACCTGATGCACCCGCTTTGAGGACGGAAGTTGGACACTTCCCAGTTCCGAGCAGTCTGGAGCGCGGCATAAAACGTTACCCCAGAGTTTTAAAATGAAAACGGGGTCTGCAGCGTTTTCAAACTTCTCCATTTTAGGTCTTCGCATTCTGGATGGGAGGTGCAAATGAAGCAAAAGTCTGTGTTTTAAAACAAAATTGTGTTTGTGTGGATGTAGCCTCAGTCAAAGGGAGAGAAAAGCAGAGGGAGAGGTGTTTTGGGACGTTTGTCTCACCTGAAAACAGTGACAGCCAATCAACAACAGGTTTATGCATAATGAGGGGTCCTGGGGAGACACTGAGCCAAGTTTGTCACCCACAGTGTGTAAATCAGTATGAGGTCTCACACTCTGTAACAACTGCCCTGCCTCCCCCCTCGTGTGTCACCCCTGACACCTCCTGCTAATTACTTTACGGATTGAAAGTGAGAGTGTGTGCTGGTGACAGAGAGAGAGAAAGAGAGGGGCTGTAGAGATAATAAAAGTGAAAGCGAGCAGGCTTGCACATATCAAAAGACATTTATCTTTTCTGGTAGAAAAAAAAAACTGCTGAGGAATCAGATACTGAGGTCATGAGGAAGTGTACTGGTGTGTGATGTGAACTGACTCTTAGTCCATGACTCAGATTTCAGTACAGGTATCTCATATCCTTTCAAAAAGCACGTAACAATCAACTGTTTCTCATTTTCTTGTTCAGTAGTTTTAAAGCATTTGTGTGCGCTAGACATCCAAAGGCGACTGCTTTGTAAGCACAAATGTAAATTACTGAAATCAGAGAAGGGGACTTAGTGAGCATAAACGAAGGTGTTGGATGTTTATCTTACCTCACCTGGATGAGCAAAAGCTAAAATAATAATAAGCTCCGTTTCTCTGTCAGGTGATCCGTCGTGGCAGCGAGACGGAGAAGCTGCTGTGTCTGGTGCGCGAGCGTGCGGGCCACCACTGTGACAACGCTGTCATCATCATCCTCATTATGGCCTGGGAAGGTGTCCCGAGGGCCCTGGCAGACAAGCTGTACAGCGAGCTCAGTGACACCCTCACCAAGTATGGCAACCCCACCAGTCGACGCTGCGGCCTGAATGATGAGTGAGTAGCCGATGGGTTCTCTTTGATGCTGGTTTTCTATCATACAAGCTTGTCAATGTGCAGAAAAGAACATTATATTATGTTCACTGCACCTGTTTGTCCTGTATTTTGTTTATGGAGTATTTTGTCTCCAGTCATCTTCATCAGGGCGTTCAGGAAGACCTTTGCTAAAAATGTAGTCCGTTTAATGGCCTAATCTTTGCTTTGTAACCAGATATCTCTGTGTGCACATTGTCCATGCCATACATCCCAAACCTACAATTAGCTTTGAAGGGATGTTGACACACCTTTGTTTAACCTGGTTTAGACATAAGCACTATTCACCGGTTAGGGTTAGAAAATAAGTCTTATTCCCTTCTTAGCAGCGTCTGTGTTGTTCCTCTAATTATAAACTATAAACCGTATTATATTATGTGATGGCGCCTGAGTGTTTGTGCAAGTTAAAATTAAGGAACATTGTCTTATATGAAACTCCTAAGGGGCTAAGATGATGAGTTATATATTAATGCTTCGAATAAAACATTTCTGAAATCTCTCTCTGCCACATTGTTCTATCCCACTTACCTTACACATGATGTGAAGTGTGCACACATACAGTCCTGCTCACCATTAGTGGCACCCATGAAGTTTATGTACATAATGTGGAATATCTTCTGAAAAAAATCAAGTGAAACAATTCTGTTCTATAGAGAACTTGTGATTGATAACAAAAGAGCAAATGATAAATAACAATTTAAAACAATAAACAATGGGCGGAAAAAATAGAAAATCTTAAAGCTTGCTGTGGCACTGGTATTTGCACCCTTTGCTGTAAATCAGTATGGAAACACATTGTGACTCGCCTGTGGTAAATCACAAATGAGAATCACCTGTGATAAATTGTCTGTCTAAAAAGCCATCTGTTATTCCCTGTTCCTTTGTCACAATGGTGAAGACAAAGGAACTGTCTGAGGACATCAGAAGTGCAATAATTAGCAAACACAAGACCTCCAAAGGGTATAAGGCCATCTCCAAAGACCTTGGTATCCCTGTTTCAACAGTGCGTAATGTTATTAAAAAGTTTGCCAACCATGGAACTGTCAAGAACCTCCCTGGACGTTGGGGGAAGAGAAAAATTGATGAGAGAAGTCTCCGAAGGTTGGTGCGAATGGTGGACAAAACACCACGTCAAACATCCAAAGACCTGAAGGCCAACCTGGAACAGTCCGGGGTCACACTAAACCAAACAGGGCTTCATGGGCGAAGGCCAAGGAAGACAACACAATCTTTCTGGGAAAATGTTCTGTGGACAGATGAAACAAAAATAAAGCTTTTTGGCAATGCACACCAACAGTTTGTTTACAGACGGCGCAATGAAGACCAACAGTTAAGCATGGTGGAGGATCCATAATGCTGTGGGGCTGCTTTGCTGCATCTGGTACTGGAGGCCTTGACCGTATCACAGGAATCATGAAATCCGAGAATTATCAAGAGATTTTAGATCGAAATGTCCTACCCAGTGTAAGAGAACTTGGTTTGAGTCAAAGATCATGGGTCCTCCAGCAAGACAAAGACCCAAAGCACGCATCCAAAAGCACGCAGGAATGGTTGAAAAGGGGGAAAAATGGACTGTTTTAAAATGGCCAGCAATGAGTCCTAATCTCAATCCTATTGAAAATCTTTGGTATGAGCTGAAATCTGCCATTGGGGAAAAGAAACCTGCAAACGTTCAAGAGCTTGAACAATTTGCAAAGACAGAGTGGGAGAAAATACCAGCTGAGAAGTGCAAGAAGCTTATAGATGGGCTACAAGAAACGTTTGCAGGCTGTCATCACTGCCAACGGGTGTGCAACCAAATATTAAAGAGGGGTTCCCTTATTGCTGCACATGCTGTTTTTACTGTTTCTTCTTTGAAATTACAATATGTAAGTTGAAAAAACAATTTTCTTTGTCAAATTATGTTGGACCTCAAATTAAAAGATCCTGATGATATAAATTTGGTACATTTCTATTTATTTCTGAAGATATTGTAGAGGTTGTGCAAAAAATGAAGGGGTGCCAATAATGGTGAGCAGGACTGTAATTTATACATGAAGCTGAGAGTGCGCCCACTGTCTCCCCCTGCAGTCGTACCTGTGCGTGTCAAGGCAAGGACCCTGAATATTGCGGCGCTTCCTTCTCCTTTGGCTGCTCCTGGAGTATGTACTTTAATGGCTGTAAGTACGCCCGAAGCAAAATGCCGCGCAAGTTCAGGCTACAAGGAGATCACCCTGAAGAGGTACTCATCACATCAAAGCCGCTTGTTTTATAGCATTATGCAGGAATATGTTAATACTACATTTCGGTCGGCTCTGTGTCTCTGTGTTTTGTTCTGACCTGTTATGCTTGTTTTTGGTTTTCAGGAGGAAAAACTCAGGGATCACTTCCAGCATCTGGCAACTGAGGTGGCTCCTGTGTACAAGAAGCTGGCCCCACAGGCCTACAGTAACCAGGTTTGTTGTGCAGGCAAATACCCAGTGGTGTACATTTAATGTGCAACCCTTTTACACATGAGGATAATCTCATGCAACCACCAACTGCACGTGTCATCTTCGTCACACACAATGAGTAGCAGTGTACACCAGATCATCATGACTTTGGCTGTCACATAATAACACTTCCTGCTTCTTGGCACTAAGACTGAGAAACAGAGAAGAACCTACTGGCAGGGACTAACTCAGCTCTAAGCTATTTTTACAGTAAGCCTGACATATTACACCTGTGAAGTGCTGCCTTTGAGAAAGGCAAAAAAACAAACTTTGCACTGCTTTGTTTGTTTCTTTCTTGGATTGAATGTAAGGAAATGAAGTTATCTTTGTCCTCTTCCTCAGTGCCTGACCGAGCAGAAGGCTCCAGAATGCAGGCTGGGATTGAAGGAGGGCCGGCCGTTCTCTGGAGTCACTGCCTGCATGGACTTCTGTGCCCACGCTCATAAGGACCAGCACAACCTCTACAATGGTTGCACAGTGGTAAGATCACTCACCAGACATTCAATTTTAGGGTTAGAGGATTAATTGTTGTGCTATGGGTGGTGTCTGAATGCTTCCTGTGGTCGGGTGTGTGTTGAGTTTGTATGTGCGTGTATGACCTTTTAAATGTTTTTCTGTTGCATGAGCTTTGCATTTTTATATGTGCTTGGTATTAATGTTCAGCAATTTGTAACCTGTGTTAAAAAATGTGCTATATAAATAATGTTTTACTGACTTGTGTGAAAAAGCTAAATAAAAAGTATAGTTTTGTAGCTTGGCGGTTTACATTTCTTCTTGCTCTCCCTCTCTCGCTCTCTGTCAGGTGTGTACTTTAACTAAGGAGGACAACCGTAAAGTGAAGGAGATCCCGGAGGATGAACAACTCCATGTGTTGCCTCTTTACCGGATCTCCCTGACTGATGAGTTCGGCAGTGAGGAGGCCCAGCGCCTAAAGATGCAGACCGGAGCCATCCAGGTGCTTCAGGCTTTCCGCCGCGAGGTGCGCAAGTTGCCCGAACCTGCCAAGTCTTGCCGACAGCGCCGACTGGAGGCCAAGAAGGCCACCTCGGAGAAGAAGAAAAATAAACTCATGCAGCAGACAGGGGAGACACCAGAGAAAGCAGTGGTCAAAGCTGAGGTCTGCATCACCGGGTCCTCTCAACTCCAAGGCAATAAAGGTTAGTTATTGTGTGTGTGTGTGTGTGTGTGTGTGTGTACTTTGATTGTGTTCAACAGGTGTCTAGACTATATGACAAATTATTTTTAATTACTTGACTTGGGGCCTTGTCTGGTAGCCTAAAAGGCATTCAACCTAATCCTAATCTGCGACCACTGTGTAAGAGAACTCCAATATAAAGGTCCACAGAAGACATAAACAATTCTAAACTGAAATGCCTTTGAGGTTTGTAATGTACCTTTCCTTTGTTTCAAACATTTAGCAATTATAAAACAAGAGGTGAAGCCCAACATCAAGACAGAGCCCTTCAACAGATCAGTAGATGGATACCCTGTGCAGGCAGCAGACCCATTCAAAAACATCTACCCACACCCTGCCTACTATGCAAGGGGAGGCCTCCCCCCAACTGGCCAGCCCTCTGCACCAGACCAAGTAAACGGTTACCACCACAATCTCCCTGCAATGCACTATGGCTACTACAACTATCCCCCCAATGCACTTTTCCCCCCTAAGCTGAGGACCTACGAGGGTCGAAATGGCTCTTTGCTCAAAGCAGGCAGTAAGGCCGATGAGGTAGACGGGAAGCCTGATATTCAGAGCCTTCAGGCCAGACTGGCCCAGTCCCACTCAAGCCACCCAGAGCAGGTCCACCATCCAAACCACAGCGCTTACACCCAGGCTGCAGACTACAGCCAGTCCCGTCCTTCCTCTGTCTCCTCTGAACCCTCCAACAGAGGCACTCCAGGCATCAAACAGGAGCCAATGGATGTGCCAGTCTATGAAGGCACAAGGCCAAGCCAGGCTGGAGCCAACACACCTAGCACTAACGCCCAGCTTGCGGCCTGGTCAGGGCACAAGCTCAATGGAAGTATCATTCCCACCAACTGGGACGGCCATCTGAACCCCAAACAAAGCCCTGAAGCCTCATTGTTGAACCCGGACAAACAACTGTTTCACCAGCATCCCCAGCAGCGGCAGCCCTCTCCTTACCCTCAGCAGTGGACACCTAACCATGGCTCAAATCCCCTGATGGCTTCCCCTGCCCCATCACCATCACTCCAGGTACATCCCTCTCCGTCTCCGTCCCCACACCTAGGCACAGGGCCAGCTACCCCAGGTAACATACACCAAGGCTCTATACACCCTGCCACTCCACGCCCAAGCACCCCCCACCCAGGTACACCACAACCTGGCAGCTCTCACTCAGGCTCAGTTACACCACAGCCAGGCACCCCCAGGCACTGGGCCAACCCAAGTCCTCAGCCGAATGCTTGGGCCATGGGGCCTGCAGCATATAGTCCTGGTTTGAAGCACAGCAATCCTGCAGGATCCTACCCTGACAAGATGTGGTCTAAGACCGGGGAAAGTCGGTGTTCCACGCCCCTTGGGCTCCAAGAGAAGGCTTGGAGGTCTTGTGGAGGATCAGTGGCAGGCAGTACCCTGTCCCCTGCCCCTGAGGGTCGTCTCTTCCCTGATGCCCTGCAGCAGTCAGATCAGGCCTGCTGGAACCCCGGCCAAGCTGAGAGTGACGTTGAGAGCACCAAGGGCCGTGAAGAGGATGATGATGAGGTTTGGTCTGACAGCGAGCACAACTTCCTGGATCCCAACATCGGTGGTGTAGCGGTAGCACCAGCCCATGGCTCCATCCTGATTGAATGTGCCCGTCGGGAACTACATGCTACCACTCCGCTCAAAAAGCCTGATCGCTCCCACCCCACCCGCATCTCCCTGGTCTTTTACCAGCACAAGAACCTCAACCAGCCCATGCACGGCCTGGCTCTGTGGGAGGCCAAAATGAAGATACTGGCAGAGCGAGCGCTGCAGAGGCAGCAGGAAGCAGCTCTCCTTGGCCTCTCCCAGGAGGACATCAAGGCCCTCGGGAAGAAACGCAAGTGGGGGGCTACTGTGGCAGGTGCCAGTCCAGGACCTGGACAAACTAAAGACAAGAGGGAGGGACCAGTTACGCGGTTAGCCCCCACGTTCCACACCAACTCTATGGTTACTGTGTCTCCCTATGCCTTCACCCGCCTCACTGGGCCCTACAGCCAGTTTGTCTGAGGTCAGACAGACACAAACAGACTGATGGATACAGAGTGGTGCAGTGGAGGGCTGGAGAGAGCGATGAGCAGGATGAATGTCTCTCAGCCTTCCCGCAGTCTGGCATCTCTCCATCCTGCCCCCTCCGCAGTCCACTGGGAGGAGGGGACATTTTTATTGTTTTTTACCTCATGTCAGGCAGTGGTTTGGGCTTCAGACACACTGCCTGTGGTGCTCTTCCTCTCTCTTCCCTGGAGAGGAACTCCATTGCTTTTTCTTGTTTATAGAATTTTAATGATTCTAATTATTGCTATTATTATCAATATTATTATGATTGCTATTGTTACTGTCAATGTTGTTATTACAGGTATTATTATAATGAAGACTTGTTTGTTTTTTATTATTGCTGTTTTCATTAATGTTATTATTAATGATGTGATTGTTTTTGGTTATATATATTTTTTAAATCAATCAGTCTAAGTCAGTCAGACTCAGACAATTGCTTTTTCCATGTTTGGAAAACGTGTACCCAATTTTCTGTTTGATTTTCTTTGTTCTGGTCAATCTTCCAGCTGTACTTAGAGGAGGAGCCATTATCTGCCTGGCAAGACAGCAAATCAATGTTATCATATGCAAAAATGTAAAACTGCCTTTCCAGTAGGCTTGCTTTTGATATTTATCTGTAAATGACATTGTACAGATATGGATCTTGGATTTAAAAAAGCCCATTTAGGCCCCAATAAAAATAAAATTTTTAGTTTAAAAGCAGCACTCAGATTTTCCCATTAGCTGGGAACTTCTTTGCACTTCAGCATTATGTACAAATATAATACATTCTATTCTAGATGTCCAATTTTATTTGCACTGATACGAACAATTATACCCCTTTGATGTGGCTACTGTAACAAGTAAACTCCCAAATGGAGGCTGCACAGTACATTAAAACAGCAAAAAGTAACAAAATAATGTCCTGGTTAAAAATAATTGCATTAAAAATAATCCCTTTAATTTGGGAGAAAATTTTGCCGCTTTTCTTGTCATTGGATGATGTGCTCCTCCTCTTCTTCTGCACCCCTCCAGCTTTCGACTGGTGCTCAACTTCCAGCTCTGATCAATATTCATTCCGCTACTCTTCATGGCACTTGATGCTGTACTTAGGTGCTCTAAATCAAATCTGGCTCAACTTGTATTAGCAAGTAAATATCATTTGTTTTGACCGAGGTGGAGTACCAGAATGACGGGATTTACTGATTCTGAGGTGCAGGATGTTTAAATTTCTAAAGACAAATATAATGAATTAAATTACGAATGCTTGTCATGTTTTCCTATGTGGAAAACTGTACAAGCATGGTACTCCACGGAGGCTGAAATAAGTGATACTATTTGCAAATATTGTTTGACCCAGACCTGCAAATACCACAGAGATGGAACAGGTGGCACACTTTTATCTTCCTATAAGATTCAAGTAGGGGTGAGCACTTCCCAGTGTAAACTCTAGAGGGCAGCAGCGACTGCCCTTTCAAAGTGGTGTGTACAAACAAACCTTCAAGCGCTTGAGATCGTTCAGAAGCCAGTACAGCCTTGCCTTGCTGCTTTAACCATCCCTGGCCAGTAGAGGGGGATTTTACACCCTGCTCGCTGACCATGAATGGGCCTCAACAAAGCCGCTCAAGGCAACGTTGATCTTTGTCCCATTGTGGCACAAATGTGAATGAAATCTGGAGATGCTTTTGGGATGCCCATCCTGGGTTTGAGCAGAAGGAAAAAGTGTTGGGAAAGCAGTGCTTTTGGTGCTCCTACTTGCTCTGGTGCTCTCCTATTACACTTGATTTACTGTGAAGGGCCCACTCCTTCCTCTGCATGGTGCTGTCATCTTCGAGCAGAACGAGTTGGGTCCTTCTGCAGGCACCTTGTCGCCACAGAGCCAGGCAATCAGTGGCCGCCCTGTGGTCGCAGCTCTGTCATTGGGCTCAAGAACTGGTTTCTTCTGAGGTGTTTTTATGGTTTCTTGTGGCGAAGTGGTTTTGTCTCAAACAAAGTACACTGTACAGGGCAGAGAAAGCACAGTCATTCAATGCATTTTTTGGTAACTCATTCACAGAGAAAACAATAGTACTGAGAGTTAAGGAGAGACCTTGGAAAATTACTGTAGCTTCTGGGAGTTGGCGCCAAATGCAAACGCATTGCATCAATGAATCTCTCACTTTGTGTGCGTGTGTGTGTGTGTTTGTGTGAGAGGAAATGATACAAATGCATGGGTGTGTGAAAGAGAAAAGCCAAAGAGAGAGACTATTTGAAATCCTGGATAGAGTCCCGCGAGTCACTCATTTTTATTTTGTCTCTATCAACCATGGGACTGTTTGATAAATCAAAATAAAGAAGTAAACACATGGTTTACTTGCAACGTGGTTTGAAAATGAAAATGAGCAACTAACAGAACTCGATCCAGGCTGACTCCTGGCTGCTGAGTGGTTGTTTTGGGTCAAGGCCCTGGTCATCTGTGAAAGACCCTGTTACCTCTCTCGAGGGTCTCCAGCTCTCTACCTCACGCTGTAGAGACACTGGTCCCAATCACAACTTGCTACTGAGGGCAGAGAATCATGCAGATGTCCCTTTGTGTGCTCTAGATCTCCACACTCATTTTAAACCTGCTTTTGTTTTTTTTTACTCTTATTTATTACTACATGGTGATGATGATTGTCTTTGATGTTATTGTTTGTTTTGTTTTTTTTTTCATCATTTTTTATATAGCTAATACAAATTGTACATAGAGAAGAAAAGATTTATAAAAGCACTTTTAATCTTGATTTTAATGACAAAAGAAAGAGCCGATTATTGACAACTTGAAGCTTAGGGTTTGGGTTTTTTTCTGTTGTTTTTTTATTTTGAGGAGGATTTTGAAGAGAGAGATAAAAAAAAATGTACATATTAAAATATTTAGGTAAGATTATTTAACTGGTGAGGATCGTAACTAAACCATGAATGACAAGGGGGTATTTTGAAGTCTCTGACAGCCCTCAACAACGGTAAACAACACTTGGTCCAAATGCGTTGTGTGTAAATGTGTGCTTAGTAACACTGCTGTTTTGCTTTCGTAAGTACTGTACCCATTGTCAGCATATAACTGACAGAGACCTGTCACTTTCTAAAAACTAAATCATTAGCCCAGTTATGTAAACCACACTTGACTTACTAACTGACGACAGTCAAAATAACTGGAGGATCCCTCTTGGTGCAGTTCTCTGACCAAACCTCATATTTAAAAAGTATGAATTTAAGAGTTTTAGAAAAGCTTGTCAGCTTGAAAGCAATGAATTTAGTTGACATTTTACAGCAGGTGTCCACAACCCCATAGAAACTCATCGCAAATTATTCCAAAATACCAAAATTGTGATAATGTGGTACTCAACAACAGTGATCTACTGTCAGTAAGCTAAGGACAAATCTAAAAAGGTAGCCGTAAACCTGATATGTGTTTGTTGTCGCTATAATAATAGGCATAGTTTGGCATTTTGGAAAATGTGCGTATTCGCTTTCTTGCCGAGAGTTAAGTAAGAAGATTGATACCACTCATGTCTAAATGGTAAATATGCAGCAGGAGCCAGCAGCTGGTCAGCTTAGCTTAGCGCTATGGCTTCAGCATTTCAAAAGCTCACTAACAGATTATATCTTGTTTGTTTAATCTGTTCAGAGACCAAAGCCTAAACTTGTGAAGTTGTGGTTTCATGGCAGTTGTAACTGTTACTTCTAAGTAACCAAACAGCTAGCAGAGACAACAGGAAGTCACTGCACCCTGCCTAGAAATCGTGTCATTTTAAAATATGTTTGGTTTTGTATGGATTGAACATGAGATTTAGAGGTGCTGGTTGTCAGATTTTGTGGTCAGAGTCAGGCTAACTGTTTCCTGTCTTTATGCTAAGCTAACCGACTGTTATCTGTTGCTTCACATCTAGCGTGCAGACATGAGTGATGGTAATCTCACCTATGTCTTAACAAAAAACTGATTAAGCTTATTTCCCAAAATGTTGAACCATTTCTTTGATATCTGTAGAGTTGCCTTTGATAGATTCACCACCTATCATGTGCAGGACCACATCCAAGAGGGTGGGGGGGGGGGATGTTTAGTAACGTACTGGTAGTTGCTGAGCCAGTGTGAGGTGAATCAGTGGGCGTTGTTTTAGCGAGTTTTAGCCCAGCAATCTTTGTCAGTTGTGTTAGACTATCAGGTAAGAAACTGCCTCCCTGCTTATTTAGATGTACCTATCATTATTATCTAATCTAGTTCTCATAATAGTAAGTACGCACTTGGCATAATAATCATGATGCCCTGTGGAAAACACCTGGTGTTTAGTTTGTGATAATTAAAAATATGACACACATCAGTCGTTCGACTGGTGCATGGGCTGGGACTGGTACAGGAACAGAACCCATTTGACTTTGTAACCATAATGCATGGCCCACATTACACACACACACATACTTGCCTACCAATGGGTGCTGAGGATACAGTGTACATGTTATCTTAATGACTTTGTAAATTTCTAAATGTCTCACGAGTTTGGTAGATGGTTCTCATGAGAGGCGCCTCCTCCCAAGCTTGTGCCTGAGATAGGGGGTCAGTCAGCTGGTGCTATGATGCTACACCTTAAAAATTCACTGTGTTAAAAAAAAAAAAAAATTAACAAATGTGAGGGATAAATGATTACCACAAATATTTTTCTGAGCTCTTCGAATGTTAAGAGAACTATACTTCTGGTTCAAGCAGTTTCACAGGATGGGAAGCTGCCCTGGTGCTGACTTTATGAAAAGTCTTTTGTTACAACGCTACAAATTTACATCTCTTTTTGAGGGCAAGGGGGGGCACTGAGACAGTTGATTATTAATATTCATTCCACATTGTACTTGAACTCATTTAAAATAGGATGAGATATAGAATCATATTATATGAAGACTGTTATTTGGGTTTCTCATTTGGTACAGCGCAAGTACCAAAGGCTATTGAAATGATCTTGTGAGTATGTTGTACATGTTCATGGTAACTGAATGCTAAGATATTTGAACAAGAATAACAATTGTGTACTGCCTCCCTCTTCCTCTCCCTCGTCATGCACTTCCTTTGCCCCTCTTTCTCTTCACACCTTGTATATTTTGTCTTTCTCGCACACGCAAACATAGATAAACATACGCATCTCGCTGTGTATGGCCCACTTTTAGAAGTCTATTGAACACCTAATTTAATGAACACATCTCTCCACATTTTGGGATCGAGACTTGGACCCTGGCCCATACTAAAAATATAAATGAACCTACACAACTGGCAGCTACATTCCTTTTTGAGTTTTAGGATTGTTCTTGGTTCTTTATTTTCATGTCAAGGATGCAGTATGTAAAAAAAAAAAAAAGTGTTTTTGTTCAGTCTCTCTCTCTTTGTAGTTGTATGGTGTATTATGTGAATACATAGTGTATGTGGTAAAGACCCCACAATATTGTTTTATGTTGCGCGATAAATAAAAACATTGAAGTGAGAACATGTTTGGTTGAGTTGCTTTATTTTCTGCTCAGGCTGGAACAGATTCTGATTTTGATTACAGTGGTGTGGTGATTGCCAACCGAGTGCTGTAGCGCTCTCTCAAACTAGAGGCAGTGATCGAAAGCTTCATCTATGGTGCTGCCCAATCACTTAATTGCTTTCTGTAGCAAATATTTTGAATTGTGGAGTGTAAGAATAACAATACAAAAGTCCTTCAAGTGGATATCATGCCTCTTTTCAGAATTTAACAATAAAAAAAAAAACCACAACACAAGGTAATAAAGTACAAAACAAACAAACCATCACAAAAAGATGGATGAAGAAATAAATAAACACAGACACAAACCAACAAGTACACACCCAGAGGTGCTGAACACCATCGCTATTATTGCAGTGCCTTTAAACATCTGTCCCTTAGGGGGAAATCCCTGGTCCACAAATCCTTTCAAGCTCATCTAGTCCGTCACTTAATTGCTTCCTTTCCCCTCCCACACCAGTGACCTGCTATTAGGAAAAAATGTGAGAGCGACAAGGAGAAGAGCGAAGAGAAGAAATCGAGGCCATTAGCTTTTAAGTCAGTCAGTCACAACACTACACTGTACAACAGGTTTCTATTATCTCAACAAGGTCTCTGTGGGGACCCATTCACAATGCTTTTTACCAGTGTTAAGCTTGGATTATCACATTAAAGTGTGTCTCAAAAGACTTGAAGAAACCAGGACAGCGACAACATAGGTTACGAGTCTGACCTTGAACCTTTCCAAACAAGTAAATGCCCTAAAACAAGATGTGCATTTTTGTGCATTCCTGGAATAAATAAGTGACTGTAATCAAGAGAACTTACAAATGTGTAATGGGGTCTTAAAGGAAGCCAGTGTGGGAGTAAATTGATGTCAATATCACTGTAAATGCACAGTGTAGTACGAGTCAAAACTATATATTACAATTTGTGAAGATAAAATCTACAAATAGATTCAAAATCAAACTCACCATAATCCACAAATAAAAATCACTGACTTGTACTAAACCAGTATTTGAATGCAAAATGATTTGTCTGCACATGAGGGTCATATTCTATTTGTAGATTGTTTCACATTTGTTTTCAGAAGTTTTTTTTTTTTTACAAATGACAATTTCTACAAATGCACTATTCACAATTTGCTAACTCAGGCAGATCGCTGCCCACCCTGAGTCTAGATTCTGCTCAAGGTTTCTTCCCATTTTTCTTTGCTATTGTTGCCAAGGGCTTGCTCACGGTGGGAGTTGTTGGGTCTTTGTAAATATTACAAAGAGTACGGTCTAGACCTGCTCTATATGAACAGAGCAATGAGATACGTTTGTTATGAATTGGCACTAAATAAATAAAATGAACTAAATAGAAATACACTGCAATCTGCTATCCATCTATCTGACAATGTTGTGATGCAACCAGTTGGATCCAATTACAGCACTGAAAACAAAGTGATGAATTGTATTTCAGTGTTGTCCAGCAGAGGGCAGCATAGACCTGCCAATCTTCAGTTTACGTGAGGTGGTGCAGGAGAGCTTTCCCAAAAATTACAAGTGAAAAGTTAATTTAATAAAAGCAATTAACTCTGAGCTCCTCCCGCCGGTAAACGGCGTAGCTGTCAGAGAAGAAACCGGCCCAACTTCGTCTGAAAGCCCCGGCTCTCTCCTCCACAGCTCCCCATAGCTCTGCAGCTCTCTGTCGGCCAGCAGAGACTCAGACTCAATTTATTTTCATAATTAGAGAGGCTGTCAGTAATTTTAAACGTTTCCATGTGCGCAATAAAGTCACAGCAGGAATTGTGGTGCATTTTAGCAACAAAACAAACATGTATAAACATGACAGGGCAGAGGAAACTATCCAGAGGTAACATAATTAAATTTTGAGCTTATTGTTTGGTAATGTTAAACATTAACCTGACTGTCCTGCCCACTCTGAAAGGAAAGGTTGTCCCAGGTGAGTTTGGCATCAGTGCAGAGTTTGTAATTTCACAGATGTAGAGTCGTTGGCAGCAAAGAGGATCTCGCCTGGTGAGTAGACACAACTGAAATATAAATTCTAACTTGTGTATTACTGTAAGAAAGACAACGCTCTTAGATTGATAAGTAAAAAAGGGATTGTTATCAATCCTCAGGTGTGGAGCTGACTGTTAAGAATCACTGTCTGCCTTCCCAAAGGAAACATGAACTCAGCTGAAAAGAATATCAAAAACCCCTGATTGGAGACCGATAACAGCAGCCACAGGTGAGTAATCACATGGAAGTTGTTTGTTTCAAGAAACTTTTTGTAATTTTTTGTTAATGCTAAAAAAAAGCCTAATGCTACTAAGTTTGCCTCAGTGTCCAATGTTTACTGAGTCTGAGAAAAGGATGGTGCTTTATTAGTCTATAAATGTAGCCTACACATAAGACCACAGTCTAAAGTTCAGACTAAATGAGATCAAGGAAGTTAAGCAATCATTTATTAAACGTACAACCATAAAAAAAAAGACTATTGCAACTTTTACCACCACTGATAACACATTAAATTTTTACCACTATTGTTACTGCTATGAATAAGAATACAAGCTGCATTTTAAAACACATATATATTCAGAGAAGGTTGTTAATAAGACTGCAAACTCATATTCAAACATAATGACTTTTACCCAAATATAATTATTTCCTTTAACATTTAATGCTTTGAAAATGTTCATAAACCCCAGGATTTCTTTACATACTTGTGCTGTAGAATTAAATCATTTGTTTTTTGTCTGAGGTCTGTAGAATGTTTGTATGTCCACTAAAATTATGTAATTATCACTGTAAGTAAAGTTGAATGCAATTTGGAATTTGCAAAAGTTGGTACAGGTTTGTGTCTATTTGACAAAAAGATCTTGTCATCATTCAGATTTTAGCTACAGGTATTGAACACTGCAAATTAAAGCTGTAAATAGTTTTCAGTAAATCTACATGGATTGTGGACTGAATTAAAATTTGGAAAAGTTAAGTGGAACATAAAGTTTACTCATTTTCACTGTCTCTCTTCGAGTCTGACGGTTAAAAGAAACACTTCACAAGGTGGCGCTTTCATTATAGTTCATCTTCTCTGCATCTTTGGTTAAAGTGAGGGAATAACAGTTTCTGTTTTCTTTTAAATCTTTTAAAAAGCTCTTGACAAAAGGATGAGGACTAAGCAGTTATTTTGGCATATGTATGTACTTCAGGTTAACTTCCCCACCGCCTCTGAAGAGCAGTACATAACCGCTTCCCTGAGCTTTTCTATGGGAAGTATTCGGGACCGTCTCCACTGTCCATGAGACAGAACTGGATGGTTCTATACTGATTCTATAAAATGTGCCTCTATTGGTCTGATACAGATTCTTCAGATCGGCTCAGGACTCTCTAATTATTATAATAAACAGTACATGTAAACAGTAAAGTTTTGGGTCAAACAGTAGTTTTACTCAAAGAAGCTTTAGAAGAAGTAATGTGAGGCAGCAGACGATGTAAGACAAGTTAACTAAGAAGACAGTTTAAATGTTGTCCTCTGTTCAGGTTCTTCAGAGCCAGCAGTCTCACTTTCCAGCAGAGTGACATCATGGCGGCCGCAGCACCAGGTGAGTCCAGTCAGACTTCGTAAGTGTGGGTAACACTCTGTCTGCTCTCACCACCTGCACTACAAGCCATTTGGTTTCTCCACATCCACTTCTGCAGAAAAGAGTTCTTTTGGTTCATTATTATAACCAGCATTACCGGAAGTGGCATTGGCACAGTGGATAAGACACTTACCTTTGGTGTTCAATTCCTACTGCGACATATCTACCAATGTGTCCCTGAGAAAGCCACTTAACCCCTAGTTGCTCCAGAGGCGTGCGACCTCTGACATGTATAGCAATGATAAGTCGCTTTGGATAAAAAGTGTCAGCTAAATGGATGCAATGTAATGTTAACATAGTAGCATTCCTTTGAACATGTTCATTTGTAACTCATTTTCCTCATAACCGAGGGGTTCTTACTGCAGATAGAGTCAAGAACTAGTTGACTATGTGTGAAATTGTGCAAAAGTTGCATATTTGTATATTTTACCTTTCAAAGCTCCGTACCATTGACTTAAAATCTAAATAAAATATTGTGTTCCTTGGTCCAGGGTAAAAATAAGTTGTATTACATGCATAACTAAATCTGCAACCTTGTATAATCAACTTCCCCATATGTTGCTCTGAGTTTTGTCTGCAGACTTTATGTGGATCAAAGACAGAACTATGTCTTATTCCCACATGTCTTCTTTTGGTCTTGGTTTTTACTAGATTTAGTTAAAACTATTAAAATTTCAGCATAATCAACAGCAATGTGCCCTGTCCAAAACAGTGTCCCTTTAATTAAAGATTATGTGTGAATTAATCAGTGTTCTGTATCCTTACAGCTTCAGATGATCTGAAACCTGTGAAGCGGAGCAGCAGCTATGGATTGCTGCCACCCTCCAGTGAGTTAAACTGAGTCAGAATTATTCTTCTGTATATTAACATCTGGAATTACAGTGTTTGTAGGTTGCCTGGTACAAACTCACATTTTATTTTATTTAAATTTGTGCAAATTCACAGGTTAATTTGTAAGTTTCAAGATGATAACAGCTCACATGTTCTCTGAAGTCCACCTTTAAGAAGGTGTTTAAAAAGCTTTATAATAGCAATTACATGTCCAATTGTATTATTTTCATTTTGGTTGAAGTCCATACTGACCAAGATTTTCTTATTGATTGTTTTCTTTTCAGTGTCTGAGCTGAGGGTTGTTCTGCTGGGGAACAGCTGGTCTGAGAGGAGCTCAGTGGGGAACTTCATACTGGGAGAGACTAAGTTCAACACTGAGGAAGAACCAGATCGCTGTCTGAGAGAAAGAGGACGGTTGAAGAAGAAAAAAATAGTTCTCATCAACACCCCAGATCTGCTGCATCCCAACGTCTCTGAAGAGAAGCTGACAGAACATGTGACAAACTGTGTGAATCTCTGTGATCCTGGACCTCATGTGTTCCTGCTGGTTCTACAGCCTGAAGACTTCACTGAGGAACACAAACTGAGGCTCTGCAGAGTCCTGAAACTCTTCAGTGATCGATCATTTGATCATTCACTGGTTCTGATATCAACACCCAGAGAGGAGAGTCCAGGTTTGATGGACAAAGATGTTTCAGACCAGCCCTTAAAAGATATTATTAGAATGTGTAGATACAGATACTTGAAACAGGAGAACCTTGAACTTCCAGAGCTGTTAACACGTTTGGGTCAAACTGCAAAGGAGAACGATGGAGAGAATGTGAGCTGTGAAGTTTGTGAGGATGCAGGTTTAATCATGACACCAAAGTCTGAACACATCAAACCAGCTTTAAACCTGGTTCTGTGTGGGAGGAGAGGAGCAGGAAGGACTTCAGCAGCCAAGGCCATTTTAGGTCAGACAGAGTTTCATTCAGTCTCCAACTCATCAGAGTGTGTTAAACATCAGGGAGAGGTGTGTGGACGTTGGGTTTCCCTGGTGGAGCTGCCTGCCTTGTATGGAAAACCTCAGGAGGCAGTGATGGAGGAATCACTCAGGTGTATCTCCCTCTGTGATCCTGAGGGCGTCCATGTCTTCATCCTGGTCCTACCTGTGGGTCCCCTCACTGATGAAGACAAGGGAGAGTTAAAGACCATCCAGAACACATTCAGCTCTCGAGTCGATGACTTCACCATGATTCTGTTCACTGTGGAGTCAGATCCTGCAGCTCCAGCTGTTGTTAACTTTGTAAAGGAAAACAAGGACATCCAGGAGCTCCGTCAGAGCTGTGGAGGAAGAGATGTTGTTCTCAACATCAAGGACGAGCAGCAGATCCCAGAGCTGCTGGACATGGTGGAAAAGATGAGAGTTGAAGGATCCAGATGCTTCACAAAGGACATGTTCACCAGGGCTCAGATGGAGAAGGCTGTAGAGCAGGAGAACATTAACACAAGACTTAAAGCTGAACTGCAGGATGTTAAAAAGAAAAGTGAGAAAGGAATAGATGATCACAGCAGAGAGCCTCTCAGGATGGTGCTGGTTGGGAAGACTGGCAGTGGGAAGAGTGCAACAGGAAACACCATTTTAGGCAAAGAACATTTTAAATCCCTCCAGAAGACTGTCCCCAAGTCCTGTGAGAAAGCAACAGGAGAGATTGATGGACGGCCTGTCGCTGTGGTCGACACCCCCGCATTGTTTGATAAAACTTTGTCTGATGATGACGTCCAACAGGAGCTCTACAAATGCTTCAGCATGTTGTCTCCTGGACCTCATGTGTTCCTGCTGGTTCTGCAGATTGGGAACTTTAAACAAGAGGAAAAAGACTCTGTGGAACTGATCAAGAAATATTTTGGCAAGAAGTCTGGAGATTTCATCATCGTTATCCTCGCCAGAGGAGATGAACTGGACAGTCAGTCATTTGATATCGAAGACTGTGATGGCTTTGTTAAAAATCTCATAGCTGACTGTGGAGGGAGATACCAGGTGTTCAATAACAAAGATCACACAAATCGCTCACAAGTCAGTGAGCTGATGCTCAAGATCGAAGCCATGGGGAAGCAAAATGGCGGCTGTTACAACACAGAGGAATTCATACAAATGCAGGTGAAGAGGATTTTGAAAGAGAAGGAAGAAGAGATGAAGAGAGAGGATGAAGACATCAGGAGAAAACATGAGGAAGATTTGAAAACTTTGAAAAGGAGAGTCGACGAACAGCGTGAAGAAATTGAACAGGAGAGAAAACTGAGATCAAAACAGCTAAAGGACAAAGATGAATGCATCAACAAGGAGCGTCAGGAGAGAAAGAAAGAACGGGAGGAAGAAGAAAGGAGATGGAAAAAACAAGTAGAAACTCAGCGACAGGAATGGAGAAGAAAACTGGAAACTTCAGAGAAAATAGTTAAATCAGAAAGAGAGCAAAGAGAAAATGCTGAGAGGAAACTGGACCTGTGTAGAAAAGACAATAAGAGAGATCGAGACGCCTGGGACAAGGAAAGAAAGGACATCTGGGAAAGAGTACATCAGGAGGATAAACAGAACCTGGAGGAGCTTAAAACAAGCTTCGGAAAGCTCCAAGAAGAGTACAATCGTAAGAGAAGAAAATGGACATTTGCTTTGGTTGTGCTGTTGATGTTTCTGTTATTTTTATTATGTTGTGTATTTCTGTACTCACACAGTGTGGAGACAAAAGAACACACATGAAGAGTTTTACAGCTTGTTAGGCTGATGAAAGGGTAATTCCGGTATTTTCAAACCTGGGCCATAATCTGAGGTTTAAACAGAAATTATTACAGAAAGTTTAGGAATTATTCTAGTACATCACCTCAGCTGGCAGCTGCTAAAAGGGCTGCAATAGCTGCAATGTCATTTCTGCACATGATTGTGCCCCTCAATAGTATGTCTACCAAATGTGCTTTTTTGTCACTGGCTGGCTCAGCTTGTTATTCTTACAACATTATGTAAAGGGTCCTTACAGAGATCAACCTTTTTGCTAGGGTAGTTAATGTCGGGGAAACTAGCAAGAGACAGCTAGATTTTGAAAGTGTCAGCCAAGAATAATTCCACCGCCTCCCTTCAGGCCTCTGTCTAAAGCCACTCCCCCAAAACACATGTTCATGGGCAGGTAGGCAGGTAGACGAGCAGGTAGGCCGGCCACAGATACAGGATTTCATTTTTTTATATACTTTTGGGTGTGCCATTTGTGTGTTTTCTTTTTTCTTATGTGTTTCCACCTGAACTGAACAGAATTGAAATTAATTTAATTGAACGTGATTCTACATGGAGCTGGATCCAACAGAGGTGTTTAGGCCTACATCTATAATATATGCCACAAGTCCAGCTAGTCTGTTAGTAAAGTAAAGGTCCTCCTCTGGCAAATATTGGAATTAGCGGTTTGCCTCTTACCTCTCAAAAAGGACACAATATGTAAAAATCCAAAACTACAGGTCAGAAACCTCCAGAGTGGAGGATTCAGTTTTTAGCACCACTGTTATTTATCATTTACCTCCTCCCTCTTGGCAACATCTTCTGGCACTACAACATCCATTTTCACTGTTACGCTGATGATACACAGCTTTATGTGTCCACAAACTACAGCTCCACACTCCCCCCCAGTACACTCACTGCCTGTCTACATGACATACAGACATGGATGACAACTAATTAAGTACAACTCAACAATAGTAAGACTGAACTACTGCTCATTGGTTCAAAATCTACTCTGTCAAAAACCTACATCAGCTCACTCCCCATTAGTGGAGCCGACGACATACCTGTCCCCATTTGGTTAAGAGCCTCTGTGTAATATTGGACAGAACCCTCCTAACCTACACTCCATTCCCTGAGGTCTTCCACAGCAACCATCAACCTCAGTACAACGGGCGCTAGGGCCTTCTCCTACACTTCACCTAAACACAGGAACTCTCTCCCAAACTGGACTCTTTACAAAATTCAAAACTGCTCTCAAAGCTCATCTTTTCAAACTAGCATACTCGCTGTAATATGTACTATTGCTGCTTGTCATATTTTATGATGTAAAGCTGATGATACACGGAGAAACTTTTGCAGCAATGGTGCTGGGTAATGTTGCCGTCAATGGTAATGAATAAAGATTACTACCGTAATCCCCTTCCCGCACGACTCCGCCACGCACAGACTTAACACCAGCTAGATTGTTCAAACAGTTGCCCCCGTGTATGATCAGCTTAAGGCGAACTTGAGAGTCATAAAAGGACCCATCAAATAAAGTGTACTATTATTGTGTCTGTAACAACCTCCACTCTTTTGGATCAAAAGTGTTTTTCTCAAAATTTATAATGTAGTCTTAGTTTATTCAATCTGTCTACATTTAGCTGAAATGTGAATCACATGATTGTGCAAGACCTTTGACTATTTCTGTCTGACAGACTTATGTAGTCTTACAGTGTGGATAGAGATTTTTATAATAAATTTAAAGAAACAATCTCTTGATTTTCTCCTGAAATGTATCCATGTGAAAAGATAAATCTGCCTCTTGCCTATTTTAAGACATTAACAAACCTTGAAAAAACTCAAAGAAGACATTTATTTCAAGTCAAGAGTTCCAGACTGCATCAAGACCTTTCCCGGTTCAACATGACAATACCTCTGCGCTCCATAAAGAACTGGACAGAACAAAATAAAGAAGTCACAACCACCGAGTTTTAAATACATAGAATAATAAACACCAAACTAAACATGTAACATTTCATCTTGAGTCTTTTTTCCCTTTGTAAAATGCTTGAAGCTGCTAAAACAAGTTCAAAATCAGATGAGGAACAACACGGTCCCACCTGACACTTGCTTTCAGGTTTATGTAATCTCACAAAAAACTGTATAAAGTGGGAGAAGCTCCAAGTGCAGGCCGGTCACAGCCCTTAGGTCTCTTATGACGGTAACATTGGCGTTAAAGACTTTAGATCCAAAAAAGGGAAAGTAGAAAAGATTTTGATCCATGGATTCAAAAGTTTAATGTTTTATTTAGGTGAATATTTAGTTTCTGCCACAAAGACTTCTGATCTGTCATGATTAAACCTGCATCCTCACAAACTTCACAGCTCACATGCTCTCCATCGTTCTCCTTTGCAGTTTGACCCAAACGTGTTAACAGCTCTGGAAGTTCAAGGTTCTCCTGTTTCAAGTATCTGTATCTACACATTCTAATAATGATCTGTTATTAATTTATAAACCTACAATCTATCCTGTTGTTTATTACTCTAAGTTAAAAAGCACCGTGTCTTATCTTCACAGCTATAAAATGACCTTTGTTTGACTCATCGTGCCATTTTGTTCTTTCAAAACAAAGGAACGTTTAGGAGTCTAGTTGCTATTAGCTCTTACGAGTATGTGTTGTCAGTTGTAGATTTTGTGCTGTATTGATGCTTTGACTGGCAGAGATAACAGTAATAAGTACTCAGGCCCAACATAATGTCACCATCTACAGCAGTTTTAACATACTGAGGGTAAAATATTAACATTTTGGCTCAGCGTGAAAAAAATGCAGACCTCTCATTCATTTGAACGAAGCCAGTCTGTAGCCGGTGCGCGAGTGCCAAGAGGACTGTCTAGTGTAGTACTTTCTGTGGTTGCCATAGCCACACAGTGATCTGCCACACCGAGTACACACAGGAAAGTCTTACTATTTCTATTAGTGTAGCACGGACACCGTAATGTTACCAAATCACCTTAATATGGGGAAACCTTTGTACTTACTTGGCCTTTGTTGCACTAAAAAATGTTCTTATGTCTGGTTTCTTTTCTCCGTCATTTAATCTGGCCATCAACACAATGTGAGACATAGTATTTTAGGTTTCATCTTGGACAGAGGACGGCTCTTACTAAGATATTCAACTGCAGCAAACCCACTGATCTGCCACTTAACAACTTATCGAGCAAAACCAGATAAACGGTAGATCTATAGTATTAGCTTAATATCAGTTCACACTTATCGCCATGTTAGCTGTAGTGGGTGACTTACTGTCCAAGCAGCTTCTAAACAAGCTACCAAACAAGCTGGGTACCTTTACTACAGCCAGGGGCGTTTCCAGGCTCTTGAAACATTGGGGGCTTAGCCCAGCCCAGAAATCTGTCATGTTTTCACCTTTTTATATACAGTCTATGGTTTTCACATGTTTTCATCCCCGCCCCCTGTTGCCACCCAAAGTACGTCTGTAAAGCAATTTAATTTAATCCCAGCAGAGTCTACATACATGCAGGCATGCTTGAAGTAGCCTAAAGTCTTTGTGCATGTGGCACCTTTTCACCTTAATGATAAATTAGCTTAATTAATTCGAATTTAGTTTAAAAAGAAATATTGATGAAATGTTCAATCAACCCCTCCGTCCCAGAAGATTTTGAGCATTAAAAACTTAATTCTCTGCATTCTGGAGACATTTTCTGCACCAATTTATGGTGGAAATGTCTTTATTTTTTTATAAAGGGAAGGACATAAGTTGGGTGGCAGGTGACAATTCAGAATATAAAAATATAATTAAATGTAATGCAGTAGCTTATTCTTGTTTTTACCTTAAGTTACTTTTTAAAAATATATTATGTATATTACATTATATTTATATTGCATTGCAGGTTTTCTTATTGTGCAAATAAACCTTTCTCATAGCATTTTATTTATTAATTAACATTTCTTGGTGCAAGCTATTTTTCAGTGGCCACGGCTCTCCTTTACTCCTTCAAGTGCCTGCTCTCTGCAGGGGAGGCTATGCAGCTTATGCTGAAGCTAATGCAGCTTCAGTGCCAAACATATCAGTTATTTTCGCATATTTGGCGATTTTTTTGGCCCTCAAGAAACAGCTCGAGCAAAGGGGGAGGGAGTGGGCCGATCCTTGGCTCATTTTTAAAAATCAGTTAGCCCTATATATATGACAGATTACCAGTCCACCCCTGAGGCTACCCCCCTCTCTGACAGACACAGAGCCCGTCTGGGACTGTAGCCTATGAGAGGAACTGATCTTCATCAGAGGAAGGAAACCGAAACTGAAAACACTTCTGTGATCAGACGGAAATATCACCATAATTCTACACAAATGTTCACTTCAGCAACTCTGATAAAGCGCAGCTCACAGCCGTTTTAGAGGGAATGAAAGATCCTGGAGCATGCACGTGCAGAGGGGGGTGCAATGGGTGCCCTTTGATGCCCAAAGTGCCTTTTTGTCAATGACAAATTTAATTCATTCATTCATTTTTTTAATTTGTAAAGGTCCTTTTGTGAAGGCCTGCTAAATCAAACTATTAGTAAAATGAATTAATAATAATTTCGCTGTAAATAAAATGACCCACATGATGACCTTTCACCTGATGACATCATCTGTGACGAGCCCTCCCGTTCAGACACCGATAGTGATTCAGCAGCTCTGCCTGCAGGACACCTGCGATCCCGCCGGTAAGAGGGGTTTACCTCAACGTGCTTGTTGTGGATAGTTGGATGTTTTTTACAAGAAAGACGCAAAGAGAGCAGCTCAGTAGTTGTGTGTTGCTGCGTGTCGCCAGTAGCGGTAACGTTTGCTGCCAACACTGTGCCGACAGCTAACGTTGCTTCTGCGCACAGATAAACAAAAGGAGCTCTGTTCATTTAGTTTTTGCTGTTTGAAGGAGAAAAGTTTCACGGGCGTCGCGAAGTATTGTATTTTTTTTTTTATGTAATTTGACTAAAAACCTTTCACTTGAACTAGGATTATTACAGTAACTTAATAAAAAACGTAGGGTGCCTTAAAATAATTATAACAACATAGGTAAAACAGGTTTATTATTTATTCCTCCGAATTATAGCCTACTTATAAGCCCTTTTTAAAACGATCATTTAAATCAGAACAGTATTTGCATATATTTAATAGCAAACCTATTATATGAACTAAATGAGATGAAATGAAGAAGAAATAGATTTCAGACAAAGGAATAAAATGTTAATGTGAAAGGAAAATGCTGCTCTGTCATGGTTATTATGGGCCAACAGAAAGAACACACACATATTTTTAGATTTATGATTAGACATATAGTCAATCAAAATCCAAATATATCTCAGATTCACAATGCAATATATTTATTATACATTATCACAATTTTGCCTACACACACACACACACACACACACACACACACACACACTTGATTTTATTTTTGTTGGCCAACTTTTGTTTTGAACCTCAAAGGTCTGAGTATCTCTGGATAATCTGTAATTCGTTTGTAATACAAAAACGAAAATACCGATTATCTGTTTTTTGTTTCAAAACGAAAAACCAAATACCCGTTTTTGGTGTCAGAATCAAAAAACGAAAAAACTGATTCAAAACGGCCCGTTTTTCGTTTTTGGCGATTCATTTAATCGATATTTCTTTTTGAACAAAGAATGAAGAGAGTCTGTGAACTTCAGTCACGGAAGTCACGTGGTCTGTTCCTTTTATGGAAGCGAAAGCAGCCGGTAAAACCTTCAAAATAAAAGTAGCCCTTGTACCATGTAATTAGAAAGGTGATTATAGACTAAAACTAAACTAAAATAACGTTATAGTAATGTTAGGCTGTTGGGGAGAATTAAACATTTGTAAGGCCATTGGTGACCTGTAACTTCAGATTAAGACAAGTGAACTAATGTTATATGCAGCTTAGGATAGCAGTTAGCCTATTTATTTAAGTTTATATTATTTAATTCATATTTTAGTTTCCTAACATATTTATTGGGTAGCACAACCAGCAGAGGTCACTCTGCCCCCTTCTGTGGCGCCAAAAGGCAATAAGGTTTTGACCTTTTGACTTGTGTTTCTATCAAAGAGAAGGCTGCACTGCGACCAGAGGAAGCTGATCACTGAGTTTGAAGGATTTGCAGAACTTCACCTGCCTTCCAGCTTCTCTTTCTATCATGCTGTAGCTGCTAAAAACTCTCAGCTTCCACTGTTATGTGTCAAAACAAAACTCTTCCAAAACAAGTCTGTGGAGGTGTAAACCTTTTATTTTCCTTTGCAGTTTTCTCCAGTGTAATATACTTATTATATTAGTTAAGTAGATTAAATATTTTAATGCAGCCTGTAGTTCTCATTAGTTATGTAGGCCTACTTATGTGTGAAACCTGGTGAGCATTAAAGGAAAAACTTGAGTATTGTGGGGAAATCTGCTGTTTACTTGGTCATCCTATCGGTTTCTTGGAGGCTGAATGTAATATGCGATGGTAACTGTGTCTTAATGTTCCTGATCATTTGGTGGGTTATGTGTTTGTTGCAATTTGTTTTCAAAAGTATGTCCAGCACTGTCGATGTGGTTCTATCTTTATTCTTTATCCTGCATGTTGCTTGTTTTGTGGGACATGCTTGATATGTTAGAACTCAGTCCTGCTCTGAGTCTGCTGATTTGTATCAGATGTGAGAAAATGTCATTAGAAGTTGCTGTTGGTATTCTGTGACGTGACAGAGGGAATATCAGAAGCTTTTTCTTCTGAGGTGTTTGTGAATGAAAGGTTTAATGTCTAAATAAAGGTCAGTGTTCATCTGACTGATGACTCCTCAGATTGTTAACTGGCAGTAAAGGCTGCTCTGGAGAAGACTGAACAATGTGCTCAGACTTTCTCATGTGTTTAGGGGAGTTTGGTCCTGGTCCCCTTTAGTAAAAAGACAAACAAAAAAACTACTGTGTTTGTGTGTTGATAGCTAGCTGCTTAGTAACTCTGATAAAACTAAATATTAAGCGATGGTTCCAGTTTGATAACAAGGCGAGCTGTTTAAATGTAAGCTTGTATATCAGTGAATTAGTTAGCCTGTGTGGTTATCTATTTTCTTGTTGTGAAGGCTTACGGCCTGGTAATGCCACTATCTAGTTTCACCCTCTCAGGTAAGCTCCACCCTGCCTCTCCAGTAGCGGCACACACCTGGAGACAATCACCTCAGTAAGAGTTGATGTTCAGGGAGCGCTCAGGATCTCTCTTGATGCATTGTGTTGTAGTGTGGTGTAGCAGGTTAGGATTTTGGATGGTATGCCATCTGACTTTTGTGAACACTTTTTAAATTGTTTTTATTACAGGAATTTTAAACCACCTGTCGCCAAGACCCTGTAGACTGCATGGCCTGTTCTGCTAGAGTTCACCATACAAATGGCCGTGGAGGTTGATACCCTGAGTTGCCTTAAACGTCTGCTCCTTGAATGAGGTGGAGTCAGAGCTGGGTGGATGATTTACTGCATTAGTTGAGGGTTATATAGCCACTGCTGTTTTACCTGCCTGATCAACTGTGGATTTTTGTGTCCTGATTTGGGGATTATTTTTATGAGAACTGCTAGGCTCTGCTAAGGGTGGGGCAGTTTACTTGTTTTTGGGCTGCGTGACGTGGAAAGAAGTGCTCTGTGTAAAAATAAATAAATCCCATGGGATAAAATTATATCATGGATCTGTTCCCAGACTTGCTTATTTACTTGTAGTGCTATGCTAACCTTTCTCTTAAGGAGGACAGTAGTCCAAAAATGTTCAAGTAGCACAGAATTAATTGATAGAAATTTATTATGCATATTTATAATATGCCTGAGCTCCTTCTCCTTGAGTGCAATGACCGTTTTATGATGTGAAGACTACTGGCTCTGAATGCTCAACATGGGCCTGAAAATGTTGTAGACTGAACTAAATCTACATTTGTCCACTGCAGAGGCTCTAACCACAACCTGGAGGAGGAACTAGTATAAATGACTATTGGTATAATATAACCTTAACATTATTTACAGTAGGTTTTAGTCTTCACTAACCCACTGTGCTTGTAAATCATTTCTGAGCATATGTGAGTGAAAGAGTTGCACTGCAGAGCCCTGCTTCACTGTACTGTTGTACACAAAAGCCTGCTGTATATTATATAAATGTGTATTAAAAGACATAAGTTGACATCATCCAAATCCACAAAAACAGCGCCACATTTACAAGGTGTGGTTACCATAATTCTGAAAGTGACAACAGGGCCTTTTCTGGTGCTGGAGGAAGGAGTGGTGTTCTGCTTTGTCCTGCCTGTCCAGCGTTAATTTGAAGAGGGTGACGGTAGGTGATGGGACCAGCCTTGATACTATCATCAGTCCTTAAACCTGCACTGGCTCACATCCTCCAGGTACTGGGGAAAATCTGTGAGGTCCTGAGATGAGTACCAAGGAGGAAAAACTAAATGACTCAACTTCACTTTTATTTTACTTGACACAAGTACGAACACTTCAGAGCACGGCCTTTCCCTGCTGGTTCTTCAAACAGAATTAAACCCAAAAAAAGCATTAAAAGATCTGAAAGCCCCAGAGCTGGAGATAATTTTTGACTCTCAGTAATGCTCACCAGGTTTCACACATAAGTATGCCTACATAACTTATGAGAACTACAGGCTGCACTAAAAGTATTAACTTAACTAACATGAGTATTTTACACTGGCGAAAATAGCAAAGTTTATTTTATTATTTTTAATTTTATTTCAGTTAACTCAAGTGTTTTTTTCACACCCAGTGCTACTTTAGTTTTACTAAAAAAACTTTATTTTAGTTTAGTTTTAGTCTAAAATCACCTCTTTAACTACATGGTACATGGGCTACTTTTATTTTGAAGAGTTTACTGGTTACTTTTGCTTCCATAAAAGGAACAGACCACGTGACTTCCGTTTTTGGTTTATAACGAAACACGAGTTGACTGAAGTTCACAGACTCTCTTCATACTTTGTTCAAAAAGAAATAACAATAAAATGAATCGCCAAAAACGAAAAAATGGGCTGTTTTTAATTGGTTTTTTGATTCTGACACCAAAAACGGTTATTTGGTTTTTCGTTTTGAAACAAAAAACAGATTATCCAGAGATACCCAGACCGTTTTTGTTGAGAGATGGACTCTTGTGGAGATTTGAAATGAGATAAGGACTCATTAATTGGCGGTTGAACTGTGGGTTTAGTGTTGAGCGCTTACTGTATAACACACTTTGGTGAGTTTACTTTTCTTGTCGTCTGTAATTAGGCCTACCTGATGATTATTTAATGCCACGACCTGACTCAAATGATCTTTCTCTGAAATTATTAATATAAAATTAATATAATTTGATACTTCTTCTACACCATTGCTCATAATAATAATTCATGTATCACATAATTTCATCATAACATAGGCAACCCGTTCTCAAAACCAGGACAGGGTTTTGGGCCTGGACCAGGCGTCAATATGTGACGAGTTGGGGAGTGAGAATGTGTTGACGTGGTCCTGGCCTACAGGAAAGAACAGTATATGTTAAATCTACCTAATACTGTGTTGGTCATGCATTCAATGATTTACTGCTTGTCTGTTTTGAACAATAAAGAAGATAAAGAGCTTAAAAAATGATCGCATATTAAATCGCAATCACAATATTGGTTAAAAAAATCGCAATTAGATTATTTTCCAAAATCGTTCAGCCCTAATGGTTATTACACGTGCAAACTGATGTTATACTTGCTTTGTGTGTGTGTGTGTGTGTGTGTTGTGTTAGGAGGTTTGCTGATGTAATGTGAGGCAGCGTCAGAGGAGGTAAAACAAGTTAACAAACAAGATAATTTTACATTTTACATTATTCTCTCTTTAGGTTTCAAACCCAGCAGTTGGTTCCCAGTCGGCCTCTGGTCTTTCAGCAGAGTGACGTCATGGGGGGCTCATCATCTTCTCAGTCCAGTAAGACTTTATTAGTTGTGGATGACACACTGTCTGAGCTCACTGTCCACATGTTACACACCACATGTCCAGTTTCACTAGAAAATGACTGTTCCATTATGTTTTTTCTTACCTTTACCTACACTGTATTCCTTTTCATGCACCAAATTGTTTTTTTTTTTAAACCTGATGACTTCTATGTTTTATTTTGCTGCCGATGTGAAGCACTTTGTAACATGGATTTTGGGTTCAAGAATGCTATTATTATGCTAAATATTATTACATTATGTCAGAGGAATTAGGTCACACCTTTTGTGCGTGGGGACACATGCCGTTTGTAGGCAAGTAAATCACCCTGATGTGACTTTCTCTGATCTCATATCATCCTAATCATCACTCTGGATGTATTTTACCAAAAGTACTTTGTACTGTATGTGTTAAATAGATCAGATATATTTAACAGCGGCACACTAATTTTGTTTAGGCTCATCACGTTCTCCGTTTCTCCACATTTTTATTGCTAAAGTTACTACCTCCTGATCAGAGGTGGGTTGTAACAAGTTACATTTACTCCTCCAGACCTACTCATGTAATTGTTTTGAGAAAACTGGACTTGTGAGAGTAGTTTTAATGTATCATACTTTTTACTTACTTGAGTAGTTTTTTAAGTGAAAAATCATTAGGCTATTTTACTTTGCTACATTTGGAGACATTCATTGTACTACTTCAGCACTTTACCGCAGCCATGTAGGCTATCCGCATGACTCTGTTAGAGAAGAGTAATGGCCACAGCAGTATGTCTTTCAAATACTATATACTGTAACATTTTGGCTACAGATTAAAATGTTGTGCAATGTGCAGCCAGCCCGGTCTCATCCCAGGTCGTCCCATACTGACGCTTTGTCAGGTTTTCTCAAAGCGTCAGTATCTGACGATGTGGGATGAAACCGGGTTGGTACAGCAGGTTTCAGTTCTGAAGTCAGTAGGCTACACCGCGCTGACACTGAGCAGACAGAGAGCAGTGTCTGTTGTGTTCATGCTAATATGTTTAATAATAAATAGCTACACACAATATTCTCTGACCTTTTAGCCACCAGCACGTACTTAAAAACTAAAGGGAGCAGTTTGCATTCAGGGCCCCGAGACTCTGGAACAGCCTGCCTGAGGAAATCAGGGCTGCAGAGTCAGTGAACTCTTTTAAGTCCCCTCCTAAAAAATACTTTTATAGAAGAGCCTTTCCTGATTTTAGTTAATTTTATTTCATTCTTTTTTATATATTTTATTACTTTATTTTATTATTATATATATATTATTATTTTATTTACTTTTAACGTGTATTTTATTCCCTAAGTATTTTCTTGCTTTTATCGTGTATTTGTTATTATGTGTTTTATTTTCTTTGCACTATGTTACTTTAAGGGAACACACCTGTATTTAAGAAGGCAATAAATTTTGAAACAAAACCGAATTTTTATGTAATTTCATTTGTTTGCCAAATCATAAGACGCACCAAGAAAACAATTTATATTTTTAAACAATCTTTACTTATTAGAGTTCTAACATACTATAATATTAATGTAGTATTTTGTAATCACACTTAATGGATACACACTGGGAATTTTGTTCTGTTGTAAATGTGACAGGTTATCTAATCAGGAGTGTATCATCACTTCTTTACTTGCAAAGACCATCTGAAATAATTCTAGTCATATCCACATCAAATAAAGAACATGGGGGAAAAGACCCACTGTTATTTATTTCTTATTTATTACGTTACTCACTACTCAAGTACTTTTTGTTGTAAATACTTTTGTACTCTTACTTAAGCAGTTATTTTGATAACCACTTTTAATTTTACTTGAGTACTTGTTTTTGCAAAGTAACAGTAGTTTTACTTGAGTACAGTTTATAGCTACTCTACCCACCTCTGCTGATGGGGCTTCATTCACATTCCGGGCGACGAGACCGTGGACCCTATGAAATCTGTTTTAATTTGTTGCCAGGTTTTCCATTTCAGTGTTTTACAATTTAAGCACATTTAGTCATCAGAAAGAAAATGTAATCATGTGGTGGATGAATAAATAAATAAATAAAATAAGAAATATTACATATTGAATCAATATCAACACATTTGAAGTATCATGCAATTTAGAAATAATCAAATGTATGTGCAATTATTTCTGGGGACAATTCACAATAAATGCATTGCAACAGTAAGTTATTAAAATACTATAAAACTATTTAATAGTGGACAATTCAAAATGAAAACACTCTTACAATTATTGCAGGGTCTGAAATTAGCATCCGCCACCTGCCACAGGTGGGTAAATTGTTAGCAGTGGCGGGTAAAATCATCATTCCATCTGCCACTTTGGTGGACAGGGAAACGCACAATGTATGGCCAGACTATGATTGAAAAGATGCTATTGGCTGTAGAGCCGTATTTGTTTTGATTGACAGTGGAAGTTTAGAATTCTAACCAATAAAAAGACACATCGCATGCACACCTACTCCTTACTGAGTAGCTTCACTTTAAGTATGAACAACTTAGCTACTACAATCTGGTGTTGTTTTCAAAATATACAAAAGCCTGTAAAATGAGTTGAGGTGGATATAAATAGACAGACAGACAACAAAAAACAAAGATATTTTATGGAAGGTTAGTGAAACGGATGAACGACATGACTGGCTTGAATTTTACGAGAATGCAGGAGCAACGCACTGCTTCATTTGTACGGACGTATGGTTGGACAGGCGAGAGGGCTCTTTTGTTTGTAGGAACAAAAACCTCACACAGCATTGAAATCCCACAAACCTCTATTGGACAAGAAGAGGGCCGCGGAGATCCCACTATCCGAGAGTGAGGTGATGAGGCCTCCATGAAGACAGCAGAAATTTAGAAGCTAACAGTCCTAATCTGAAACGCTCAGCCATCACCAGAAAGGGACAACCATTTTCAGGCTACACTTGGATATATGAGTTAGCTTCTGCACAGCATGGAGAACGTGGACTCCTGCTGGCCATGAAAATTGTCAACTTCCAAAGCTGGCCAGATGCGGAGAACAGTTGTTTTAACACAGATTTGGTGAAGCACAAGTGGAAGAGCTGCTACTACTACTACTCCAGATCACTGGACATTTCTGAAAACCCAGGTGTACCAAGAAGTCAGGATCGTAAATACCAACTGGGCAGAGGTCAGCAGAAGAGCAGGTCACCTTTATCCTGATGTTCTTGCTCTTATTGACTTTGAGGTGAGAGACTTGGGTTCAATTCCCACATACACCAATGTGTCCCTGAGCAAGACACTTAACCCCTAGGTACTCCAGAGCCGTGTGACCTCTGATATATATAGCAATGGTAAGTTGCTTTGGATAAATGTCTCAGCTAAATGAATAAATGTAATGTAATGTACTGTGAATTATCCCCATCAGACAGGTGATTACTTGACAGCCTCCACATGCTGCTGAACACACATAATGGTATAAATGGGTTTGACAGCGGCTACTGTCAGTTAGGCAGCACTCCTCTTTGTATACAATACCTGATTTGACGTATCATTTTTTTCCTTTTAAACGGAATATCTGACTCCACCCACACAGCCACAAACAAGGAGCTCCCGTCTTGCATCTGCCGATGTGGTTTCACTTCTGAGAGTTTGTTGAAGTGATGAGCTCTTGCTAACATGTGTCTCTGCGTGTGTGTGTGGAGGAGACGCTGAGCCCTATGCCCACCCTCGCTGAAACATGACACAGAGAGGGGCCTGGCAACACAAGGGGGCAACAAGGGGCTTTGCCCCCTCAGTTGTATTTTCTGCCCCACCAGTGTAAGTTTTATGAACCCTATTGAAAAATAGCAAAAACAAAATATTGGCCAAGATACAAGTGTCATAGAGACGACAGTAGCCTACTGAAAACACCTTCTTTGACATTTTCACCCAGAAAATATTTGAAACTTGTTTTTTGATCCATCTTTTCCCACTACATAGCAGAGATGCTCACAAGTCTTTGAGCTAGAGTCCAAGTCAAGTCTCAAGTCTCTCGTGGTTATTTGTTGTATTACCTGCTGAGTTCAATCCAGATTGCTTATACAACTGCATAGCTATAAGGAATACTGTTAACCTGTTTTTCATTTACAGAGCACCATGTAATGTGCAATGCAATTATTGACGGCTTATTAAATACTGTAAGTCAAAACACTCTCCAGACTCTAAAACCCAGTGTAACGTTAAGTAAATAAAACTGTGATGTTGCATAATCAACAAAAAACCTGTCTGTTTTTAACGCACAACCATGTAGCCTAATGCACAGTGTGTCTACAATTAATGACTCATTATAAGCTTATAAACTATTACTATTACTAACTACCCTGTTGATTTTCAAACCCAGTGTAAAGTTAATTAAATAAAACTGTAAAGTTACATGGTCAACAATAAAGCTGTAACCTGTTTTTAACTTACAGAGCACGACTATGTAATGTGCAATGCAATCAATGACAGCTTAAACTACTGTAAGTCAACACAACCCACAATCTCAAACCAGTGTAATGTTATAACTAAATAAAACTATAAGGTTACATGATCAACAATAAACCTGTAACCTCTTTCCAGTCAATGGTAATAGTTAACGTGATGGCAGCCAGCGGGATGTAAAGGATTACGTTAATCTACCACCGCAAGTTTTGCAAGTAAAGAACGCTCATTCATCTTTTCATAATGAACGACAGTTGGAGTTAACCTTCGTAGGTCGTAGCTGAAGCAAGAATGGCCAATGCTGAGTTGGATGTGTTTACTCACCACAGGTTACTTATCGTTTCTTTGTTTGGGTCTTTAAGTTTTAAATCCAAAGTTTATGATGAATGGCTCAGCATCTGCCGGTGTTTGTTTTCCTCTCTCATGTGCGGCTGCGCACAGCAGATGCTACGTGTTACGTAGGCAGGTTATAGGTAACGGAGGGAGGGAAAAACGGCATGCTCATCAGACGTTTCCTAAAAATAAACATTGTTCACGAGTCCCACACCTCAAG